TTTTGTTTGTCCGTGTTGTATATAACTTATTGTGTGTGTTTAGACCCGAAATATAATTGAAAATAAATCATTAGATGAAATACATTATTTCTCATGCGTTTGAATAAAACAAAGCAAACTCATACAAAAAAAAAGTTATTGGAATAGTTAAACTGATCGTTTGTAAACCCAAATACCAAAGATACATAGACCAAAGATAGTCAAAAACATGCAGAAGAACACACTCAACCATAGACCGCTAAGCGAACTACCTAATTGATGACAAACTTTGTTATCTATCTTATAAATTATATCTAATGGTAGCGGACAACGATCGGACGTTGCTTTGACCACGTTTTCTAGATAATTTTGGAACTAAAACAATGAAAACAAGTTACATATGTTTACCAATGAGAGTGACTGAACCTACTTGAATAACTGTCGGACGGATAACATATTCGGGTAGTACTGATCCACTGGCATTGACCTTCACAAATGCGATATTGAGTGCATTTAGATCCAAGTCGATCTGTTTGACTTCATTGGAAATATCCAGTATATTTGTTTGATTAACAAATTCAGCAAATAATCGAATTTCATCTGGTATATCGATTTGATGAATAGATTTTATAAACTGATCATAAACTTGTTTATTCAATTCATTCATCATATCAGTAAGGTAGCGCTGCAATGTCGGCCAATAGTTATTCAGCAATCTCGAACTAAAATGTACATCGTCTTGACAATCGTCAATTATATTCGTAGCAATTGTGTCCAATTCAGTTTTATTCGTAAAAAATCCACTGGTTCCAATCACTTGTTCTACGCAAATCAATCAGAAATACATGAAAACAACCTTTCGTGTAGATAGTTACCAGTGACAAAGGGAATCAAGAATGATCGATCATTATGTACTGTTCGACACGCACTATGCACTGCGAGATCAAGTGTGTAATAAGCGCCGGTTACAATTGTCATCAGAATTAGCATAATAATCATGAGAGTGAATACTACACGCATGAAACAAGCCAATGCACCGCATCGACCCGAACCATTATATTCATACTCATCGTTATGCTGTGAATAGTCCGAACTGTAAAGAAGTTCGGGATATTTTTTCAAGGTCAATAACGGCATTTACAAACTTACATAGAATCTCTAGATGATGCCTCGATACGTTTCATTCCGATCTGATTGCTATAAATTACAAAATGGAATGCGTTTGAATCACATGAGAAATATACTTACTGTATTTTGTTAAATGAATCATTTTGATCTCTTTCACACAAACAGGATAGTAGAACAAGGATGGCAAAACCAGTTGGAATCACAGTAAGAAAGATCAGAAATATCAGAAAGATTGTTTCAGTCATATTCGTATATTTTCGAATTTGTTTTTCTAAATCACTATCCATCCACGTTTGACTGCCGGACGATGTTATCGGATTGAGAACATCTCGTCTGATAAGATCGATTATATCGACTGCTTTTCGATGCACAAGATCAAGTGCTTGCAGTAGCTTAGCGTCGATGACAGTTTGAGTATCTGTAGCATAGGTACACACTTCGTTTAACGGCTCTTGTAATGATTCAATCATCGAGACAAATTCATCTTTGGCGGCCTTATACAAATCTTTGGCTGCTTGAGAAATGTTATCGCTTCTTTCCACGATTTGATCGATAGTTTTGATACTAGCATCAATGCCATTCAGAGATTGACTTATATTTCTAATGTAGTATCTGTCTGTCAAGATTCGATCGAACGTTTGAACGATCATTGATTTCGACGCCATGATCAGAATGGAATTCGCTAAAACAAGTGAATGCTAGACGTTGAAATGAAATCTCAATGAGACATACGTTGAACGAGATAGTTGTCTAAGTTTTTAATTTGTTGAATTATGTGTGTTGAATAATCAGCAACTGCTTTTGGATAAACTTCTCGATTACCGAATTGGATCGTATTATCAAGATCGACTTTAGATTTGTTCACACGATAGGCTGCATAGATCATATCACCTATTCCACACAGATAAACAAGCACCAGAAAACAGATGCAGATTTGAGTTGATCTCGATTGGCGTTGTTTGTGTTTCTGAAGTGAGAAAAGAGAAATTTACTTTCGTGTAATGCTGTACAAATTTCATACATATGTAGTTCGTTTCCCACAACTGACACATGAGACGATACAGAACATTAAGGAGAGTACCAGAAACAATGCCAGAGTAATACTTGTGTAAAGAATAATCGTAGGCATGGGCTTCGTTTGACTTATTTCAGAGTAATTATTCAATGAATTGATATCATTACTGAATAACTTTTTTAACAAAGCTCGAACATCATCGATGGAAAAGACGGAATCGATAATTGAAGATGATATGGTTTGAGCTAAACCACCAGCGCCTGGTTTATAACTCGGATGAGTAGTTGTTGCTGCTATTGAATTATTGGCAAGTGTGGGGATCACTGGTAACGGTGGATAGTCGTCCAAACATGTTAAATCGACAGGCATTGTTCGAATTTTACGCTTTAAAAAAACTTATGCCTTTGTCTAATACTTACAAAAGTATTTAACAGACAGATAACGATTAGAAATAGTTGCTGAGATAAAAAAATGCTTTGTAAGATTAGTCAGTATCCATAGTAATTGAAAATATATATTAAGGTAGATAACGAAAAAACGTCTTTCTATTAATCAGCTTAGAAGTGATTGCGACCGCTATAGACTATTTGAAAAGAGTTGGAATAGTCTATGTGAGCTTAGAGGATTAGTGTTCGTTGATATTCGTTTCACTTCCTATGTGTCGAAGACAGTTATCTTTTGTGTTCTTAATCAACGTCATGTACTCTGACTTTTGTTTGACAGATAAAGAAATGTAATCTTGGAAGATGAGTAATGATTCGTTTGTTTAGTACAAGTGTAGCTAACGAAATATCATAAGGTAAACAAAAGGTTTCACACGTACGTTTGCATCAGATGCCATGTAAGTGGTCTGAGTATCACCAGTTGATTAGTTCGAGAGCAGTCAACAATATTCTCCATAAGTATATTCAAACTATCGATCGTCTTCAAGCAGTTGAAATAGTTCAATGAAGTTTTGATACAAAAAAAAATTTATTTATCAGAAGAAAAAACTTCACAATATGAATCGAAATATGTATATCTTTACATTTGCTTGAAAAACTAAATTAAAAGGAGTTTATTTTACTGACTGCCGTCGAGCTGCTTCACGTTCTTGTTCCGCACGGCACAGAGGACAATCGTCATAGACGTGGACTTGCTGTCTTTGCGCTCGACATTCGGGACAATCATCATAGACATGAACTTGCTGCCTTAGTGCACGACATTCAGGACAATCATCATCAACATGTGACTGCTCAGCTGCACATAGTGAACAGTAACTATCTTCTGACGGAGATCGTGGACGTTGAGCTTTGGGTTTTGGAGGAGGTGGAGCTTCATCTTCACTTTCCGAAAGTTCTTCAGGTTTCGTTTTCGTTATGCGATAAATCTTCGATACTTTCACTTTTGTACCTTTATGTTTCAATAGATTGTTGATATCATCATTGGAGACAAGACCACGAATAGCTTCATTCTTCGATCCGTCAGGTTCGATGGTGAATGCAGTGTCTTTGAATTCCTTGGCACCCTTTTTCAAACCTGGTGTTTTCGATCCGGTTGCTGATGAAACAGAATTCTTCTTTCCTCGATTAGGATTGAATAAACCTCCTTGTGATGGTCTCTGCGCTTGCACTGTAGGTTTAGGCGCTGTAACTGTTGGTGCATGTTGAGTTTGAGCAGGTTGATTTCGAGCAGGTTGATTTCCAGCTGGTTGATTCGCGCCTGCACCTTGTCCATACCCTGGTCCATAGGAAGGTGGATAATATGCAGGACGTGGTACTGCTGGTGCACGATATGTAGCTGGCATGAGAGCGAAGCGGTCGTATGATCGATTGACAAATGGTGGATACGGTTGTCCATAATTGCCTGGCACCATATAACGAACAGGCTGAGCGCCAGCGACTGGGTAAGCGTTCGGATAGGCTTGCATGACTTCAGTTAATCTTCTTTGTTAACTTTATGTGAAATAGTAGCAAGAGATGAAAATAAGTTCGCTTTTTACGTGCTGTCAACAGAACGTGATCGAAAAATATTAACTGTTTTCGTAAAATGCCGGTTGTTTTATTTGCCCTCACTCAACTACATAAATAATTGAAAGAAAAACAAAAATGAACAGTGTGATTGTTATCCTTCTGAAATTCTGTATGATTCATCTCGTTTCCTTTCAAAAATCATTGTTTGTAGAGCAAAAGAAATTATTTGAGGGAGTTTTACTAGAAACAAAAGTTAAGAGAGAGAGAGATGCAAATACTCAAAATATTATTTTTTCAATTGTTGTGTATTTTTTTTGATAGACACTTGCGATAAAAAATACAAACATCCATTTTTTTCTTATTTTGATTGTCACGTTTCTATCGCTATGTTTTTGCCTACGATTGTTATGACGTCAGCTATACAAGAAAGAAAGAATTGTGATTTTGTACAGCAGTTTGCTAGGGCAACTTTCAAGTGTTTGTGCGTTTATAGTTCAAACATACAGGAACGAAAAATACTCAGCTTGTGATGTAAGCGCGTCCGAAACAGACGAAGGGCGTAGAAAAAAACAGTTGGGAAGAAAAATATGTGAAGTGTATCAAAAAGGACAACGTCTGAGATTCATTAAGATATACATTAGAAAATAATTGCACTCGCAGAACAGAAATATTGTATAATCAATCTGCCCTGGATTTGAGTCCGTATTTGATTTGCAGATGACGAACATGCGAGATCGGTTTGCGGAATTTATTGTTTCTTCGGCCACGATTCAAAAGACTGAAACTAGAAGTTTTGTATAGAAAAATAATTCTATGATGAGCAACAAACTCGTCATATTATAAAGACACAGAAAAGAAACACACATTATTTACATTTGATAACACTGAAACGACTAATAGTTGAGTATTTGTTTCGTATGATTTGTTCATGGTGTCGACGGATCTTGCTCATGAGTTGAAGATGCTGTTGTTGCCATTGTTTCATTGTATAGTTTGACACCAACTAACAGACAACACAAAACAATTGGGCCAATCAAAGCACCTTCAATTCCTCGATAATAGACACCACCAGCGATAGCCAAGGCCGTTAAATACTAAAATGAAATCAATGCTCTACTTTATCATTCATTTTTAATTCAAAAGTGTTACTTGATGTCCACCGCCTTTCACTTCACTATAAATAGCAGTATCCACAACGTAAGTTGGTGCAATCTGTCCAAGCAGCAACACTAGAGCAACAATAGGTCGTTGTTGGACAAGCCATAGATCCAAACAGCCAGGCAATGCAGCCCAGTATGATTTCAGTATAACTGCACATATCGATGCAATAACAGCCGGTAGGAAGACAAGATTTGAACTAACAGCTGTATGTAGAACATAAGTGTAAAGTCCATAGAATGCAGCTATTTTAAGTGAAGCAATAAATACACTTGTTACAGCATCGTTGACAGCTTTACCAAGACCACGTTCACCGATTGCTAACGTGTTATTCAACCATTCGGTTGGCCGATAAATCGGTTGATCCGAATGCGAAAGCAGATAGAAGAGTAGAGTGACAAAGACAAAAAATGAAACGAGGAAATTGAACAAAGCAAAACCACCGGTGAAGAGTAAAGAAACAATGGTCGATAATAATGTTAACACAAGAGTTGTATTTGTCCAAATTGAATCCAGAACTGTACGTAATAAACCGAGATTATCTCGAATTAAACGATATGCATCGTGTAAATGAAAGTCAAAATTTGTTTGCATTTGACTCAACACATTTGGTACTATCAATGTATGATTGCTTGGCGAATACAAAATCGCACTACGATTCTCATTTGGTGATAAGATTGTTGACGTATTCATCATGTAAGAATACACACGATCCCATAATTGTAGAACTTCCTCTTCAAGTTTTGCATTTAGCGAATGATTTTGATCTAGAACATTGATCTTAACAGACAATTGTCTCAGTATGCGTGGTGAAAAGTTGCTCTATTTCGAACCTGCTTAGTAATCCAATTCCTTCCAACAAAATAGAAGTTATTCACAGCTGAATCCATCAATTGTCCAACGTGTTCTTTATCCGGTAACATATATTGAAATGATTGATGAAGTGTAATGGTTTCATTAATAAGATTACTTGTTACTCTTACCATATGAATACTCTCGTGATGAATCTAAATCAAAACTATTGAGTAGAAAGATTAATTTGTGTGTATTCAAACCTGAATAAGAAGAAGGATTGTACCAAGAAGAACACTGACGAGTAATGTAACAATCATGAATGCGCTAACGAGATAATCAATCGATTCTTGCAAGCCATAATTGATTTTTTTGTCACCTTTGATTAAACAACGAACAAGACCGGACAAAGGTGATGGAGTTAAAACGTCGCGTCTGGTTTTAGAAAAAGGAAAAAACAAAAGTTCCGATTTGTTTACAATTATCGAGCATATGCTTACCGAACTTGTAGAAAGAGGATGGCTTGTTGAATAACATACTGAACACCCTCCTGTCTTATCAGATAATCATACGTTTTAATCAGAAGAAATTTAATAATTTTGTAAATGACGACAAAAAGAAGAATTGAGATTAAATACCCATAGAATCGATAAACTTTAATGGCAACTAGTGACCAAAGTACAAAGGTGAAATATGGTGCGGATACAGCGGAAGACAACGCGGTGGTCGGTGATTGATCTGCAGCTTGCCTTGTTGCAAAATAAGATCGAATCCAAGAGAAGACATCGCGTACAATAGTGAAGATAAATGCTCGATTTGGCTGGTCATTCGTATCATCAGGTTCTACAAACAGAAAAACGCCTGAACTCGAAATGTTCATAAATTGCATACTCACGATCGACATTTCGGTTCAAATGTTCACTGGAATCAACAACGAACCCTACTGTTATCAAAACAATCGATAGAATGATAACAATCCAACGGTAAGTCACCGGAAGCACTTGTGAAAGATAAATGAACAGAATAAACCAAACAGGTACGGCAATGATATTCAGTAGACTTTTAATCAATGGAGAACTATCATAAACCATGATTACCGCAATTAGATAAGCAATAACCAATGTCGTTATCCATACGGAGTCGCACTTATGAACGAAAAATACGAATCCATTGATAATCAAACTGAAAATGCCCATATCCCAACCATACAGAACTTCACTTTGAAGCAATAGTTTAATACTTGTAAATAGTGCAACAAACAGTAATCCACTCCAATTCCGAAAGCATAGCGGACCGATCGATTCGATTGTTCGATCAAGTGTTCGCAAGGGCAAGAGAATAAACAAGCCGTAGAGCAATACATGAGAATCTGTATCTAATTGACGAAGATACTCACGAGCGTGAAACGTTAAATGATTTTTCAATGGGAACAGAAATGCACCAGCGAGCACTGACCACAAAATACTGCGGAGAAACGGCTCTAATACTTGATAGGCGAGAATAGCACAACCGCCACAGCATAGTATGAATAGTATTGCGGCTGAATGAACAAATGCTGTACGAAATGTTTGACGATCGCGTCGTGGAGATCTGTTTACTGGAGGAAGATTTAGAAACGATGAGCCAAGCGTATGAGCTTGACTATCTACGAATAATGCAACAGGAAAAAAATTTCAATTAGACTTTATAAATAGGGAAATTTACCATTATCATTATGCAAATCTTCCTGATCCGCCATTAGTATCTTTAAAAAAAACACAGAATATCTATCTTACAACTTTCCGTTCGTTCGTTGCTTGATCGGCCTCAAGAGAAATAGAAGCTTTTGATAGGTTTGTTGAGTCTCCATCAACGAAAGGTGGCGCTATCGAGCACAAAAAAAGAATATTACAAGAAATTCTTTATTCAAGAGAAATAAAGCAGTATATAAAACTGAGAGCTGTTTTTCTGTTATGTTCTATGTCCATTCGGATACTGTACCAATGGTTCAGCGTGCGTTTGTACAACTTCTCGTGGGCGGCGATCAACAACAACTACTGTTTTTTGAGTGCTATTCTGTCCATTGACAACATGAGAGTCTCCCGGCATTCTGTCGACATAATCAAGCACTTTCACAGGTTTTCGCACTTGTCTCGGATCTGTTTGATGAGTCACTGTTGCTGTTGATGTTGGCTTTACTCGAGTCGGTTTCGGTGGTTGCGCAGGTGGTGCTGTAGTCTCTACTGGACGATTATCCACTTGTTGAGATGGTCGGACAAATGGATGTTTGTTTCCGATAGCTGTAGGTCGATCTTGCATAGACGCATCTGCTATTATTGTTGTCGACTCGATTGTTGGATTCACGTGTAAACGTTGTATTGAAAGACGTTTGTATGGCGTATTTCTCGAATTATGTCTTTGGGGAGGTTCTTTAGGTTGAACACGTTTAAAAGTTGCCTGAAAATTTTCCGGTAAATCGTTTCCGCCGTTTGAATTCACATCGATGACAGACTTTTCTGAATTTGTCAGAAACTTTCTTCGTGATCGATTATCTGGCGGCGTATGGTGATAAAGCGATGTTCTAGCAGGGTCTGCAGGATTTTGATAAACAGCAGTAGTCTAAACATATCAATAGAATGATAGGTCGCCTTGATTGCAATATAGACTGGCTAAACTCACGATAACTCGTTTCTTTGGCGCCATATAAGCGTTGTTTTTCTTCATTTTCAAACTGTTTTGTACAACGGTAACAACAAATTTTCACTTGATCAAAGTAAATAGAAACGTTTTTCGTAACGAGTAAAATGAAATGACACGTTCTTCGACATTCGAGAAGAATTTTTTTTCACATGTTTATTTTTAGAAAGAACATACAAAAAATGAATGTGAGTAGTGATTTTGACACAGTTATGTTCGATCGATTACATAGATTTGACGAACAAAAACAGTATACTTTATGTTTGGTTTTTGTTGAACGTATTGTGTGACAACCGTCGCTTGTATCAATATTTCGAACATTTTTCAAATATTCGAGTTCACCTTGTGATACACATTTCCGTATGGTCAATGAGCGTTCGTCATCTTCAATTTGTTTCTTTGTTCGTGCTTCCGTTTTGGCATAGGATTTTAGACATTTACCTGGTCCGTTCTCACTAATACATTCTTCTTGTGTGTATTTACTGGGATCAAACTTTTTCGTACAAACCGCTTCTTTCATCTCCTGTGGTTTGTCGTGATGTGTACATTTGAAGCAGGAGAATGGACTTCGTAAAGACGTTTTACGCTGAGCATATGCTAATGAATTGAATAGAACTATTACAAGTACGAACATGAACCGTTGTCGACACAACATTTTTTGCTTCTGGACAAATTCTACTATTTACTTTCGTTCTCTTCTCTCTGATTATTTACATTGTTCAATGGTTAATCTCCTTTGACAATGGACATGAGCAAACATTTGAATAGATAGTAAAGAGAAGAAAGAGAAAGATGACGACGAGGAAAAGAAAACGTGCATCCTTTATTCAAAATTGTCTCATCTAATGTGACTATAATGAAAGATAGATAGAGAAAGAGAGAAAAAGAGAGAGAAAAAGCAATGCAATTCAGTCAGGTTTAGCCTTGAACTGTATTCGGAGTAAAGATTTCGTTCAATTGTTGACTAAAACAGAAAAAGAAGAACACAATCGTAGACAAAAAGTCAACACGAAGTAAATATATTCGTTACCTAACACGAATGAATGTTGTTCGACGACTCAGTTCTTTCAGTTTGCCAGCACCTACATAAGTACAACAGCTACGAACACCGCCTGTTAAATATACACAAGATGAGTATTTGTATTCAAGAATGAATGTGTTTACCTAGGATATCTTGAGCTGTACCAATGACAGGACCACGATAGGGTACTTCAACTGTTTTGCCCTCCGATGCGCGATATTCAGCTACACCACCCGACTAGAATATGTTCGCCAGCATTCTTTTTCAGTAATGTAGAGTAAATAACTTATCCTTACGTGTTTATCCATGGCAGTTCTCGATGACATTCCATAGAAAAGCTTGAATTTACGTCCATTACGCTCAATTATTTCACCGGAGCCACTTTCATCATGTCCAGCAAGCATACCACCAAGCATAACAAAATCCGCGCCTAAAAAGTACATTCATCTCATCCACAAGAACGTAACACTCCTTTCTCTTACCAGCTCCAAAAGCTTTCGCAACATCACCGGGACTTGTACAGCCACCATCCTGTATACATTTCAGTTTTTTTCAATTCAGTTGCTTTCTAATAGTCACTTACGCTAACAATATGTCCACCAAGACCATGAGCAGCATCAGCACATTCAAGAATGCATGACAGTTGTGGATAACCAACACCGGTTTTCAATCTAGTTGTACATACACTACCTAAAAGTAAACTGTAGTGGTGACGAAAATTCGAATGTAGTTTCTTTCTAACCTGGTCCTATTCCACATTTGACTATATCTGCGCCACTAAGAATCAACTCTTCAACCATTTCACATGTAACGACATTTCCAGCCTGAAAGAAAAACCAAAAGTTTAGTTTTCAAATGTCAACAAAGTCGAAATGTATCTTACAAATATCGTTTTATCGGGAAACTCCTTACGAACAAGTCGAACAAATTCAACGAAATGTTCCGAATAACCGTTAGCCACATCGACACAAATGTAATCAAGTTCCGGAATAGCATTTATGATATCACTAGAACGCAACAGAACAGGTGAATAATAATTAAAAAAAAACAAATAAACAGTGTCTCCAGACATACCGCAGTTTCTTGAAATCATTTTCTGTCATACCAGTAGAAATTGCCACATTCTAAACGAATCAATTATCATGTTCAAATCTCCCTTCCACAATCATCTCGATAGGTTACTTGAAGAATGCCGCTATTTTCTGCCGCGAACTGTTTCCATTGTTCGAGTGTATAATGCTTATGAATTGTTGTAAACAATTTCAACTAAATAAAACTCTACGAATGATATTCTATTAGTTCTGGAGTACAAACATACTTTCGACAATTGAATGGCCATTTCGAATGTTCCAACTGTATCCATATTTGATGCAATGATTGGTATTCCATCATAAGTTTTTTTGCTATGACGAAAAACAAATTCGCGTGTTAAGTCAACATCTGCTCGACTTTTCAATGTTGATCGTTTCGGACGGATTAGAACATCTTTGAAATCAAGTTTGATATCGTTATCTAATCGAGGCATTTTCGTTGTACTGTTCTATCTAAAATTGATCAATCAATAACAAAAACAACAGTTTCTTGTTAACAAAACAAAAGAAAGAAAGAAACATTCAATTGAAACACGATGAATTTATTTCGATAGAGGCGGCCAAAGCGATCTGACTTGAGCATGTAATGATTCCGGTAGCCAAGTGCAATACACATCAAGTAAATCTATATAAGCAGACGATGTTGAAGGAGACATTCGAAACAATCTGTTTTCTTACACTTCGGTTCAGTTGACCAAACTTCTTTCAATTGCGCTCGACTATCGATCTGTTTCGCGACTAATGCGTTGAGAAACTTTTGTGTGCGTTCCATTAACGATGCCCAAGACTTTACCATGGCATTTGACGAACATAACAAAGCTGGATGAAACTGTAATAATTTCGGACAGACTATGCCGTCGAGGAAGTATTTTCCAAACCAACGAAAACGGTCGATTGTATCGGGTGAGAACGATGTTTCAATTGCTGGTCCCAATGACCATGAAACACGTTGACCAATTGATGCTTTACGATAACAAAGCATCTTATCTTGAATTTCATCATAACGTGGTGGTGGATTTTCTTCAATTGGACCAAATGAGCATAAATGTGGATTCAATTGAACAATCCAATCCATCTGAATCGCACAGATGTCTAAATCAAATTTCGTTCGATCGTTTCTAGTCAAGACAAAAGAATCAAGCAAACCTTTAATAAATATTCGATTAGTCTCATGCAGTTGTTGGTAACAAACAAATGGTGGTAATTCATTAACAAGAACCGATGATGGATGAATGAATACTGGTTCTTCAAGTAGAAGAGTCTAAATATCACACAAGCTACTTTATTTCTGAACAAATAAAAACTTTCGACTAAACTTACTTGATAAGCATTGTTTGCTTTATGACCTTTAATCATCACAGGTCCTTCCAGTCGTCTAAGAGAAAAACAATAACAACAAGAGTCTTTAAGACTCGATATATGAATATTGATTTACTTGGCCAAACGATCCACCATACCAGCGGCAAGTACTTTACGTAATAAACATATTTGTTGTTCATTCGGTGGTACAAGAGGAGCATCAAGTATTGCTGCTATATCAGGTAGGATTGTTTTTACTAGAAGTGAAACATATTGACTTATATATGGTTTATTACCCTTGTTTTTCTCTCTCTTCTATTCAGAATGTATGCTGCGAAGTGGATATTTTCTTCCAATCAAGGGCGCGGATGGATAATAAACAACGTTTTTTCTTTCTTTCTCGTGGATTTATAACGATAGAGGATCGAGGAGAAAAAACAAAAGCTAGATGCTCAGCAGGAAAAAGTAAATACTTTAGTTTCCACGTGACAAGAAGAAACTTGAATCCAAAAATGCCTTACCGATTTGTATTAATTGCCGACGAATTTTCCGGATTTCTGTCATCGCTTTTGGTCGTAGACCATAATGAGTACAAACCGACAGTTCAGTTTTTGCACTGCCATGATCAATTGCACCAACTGCTTTCAACAAAACCATCATATCACCGAATGAAAGCGCTTCACCCTAAATACCACTACTTAGAAACATCCCTATCTCTCAAAACACTTACTTGTCCTATCCATTGTTGTCTAAGATCGTCTAAACTAACACTAATTTCCTGATTGTCCTAGAAAATGACACGTCACATTTTCTGGTATCTTACATATCTAAACTGTGTTACCTTCTTAACTTTCACATGTCCACTTGTCAAGACTTCATTGACACTTAGTGCAGCAACTAATGCGATGATATATGGTAGTAAAGCGGGATTTTCTTGAGCAATTACTAACATTTTCGAATATCTTGGATTGATGGGAAATGCTGCCATACGCCGACCTAATTCAGTAATCTTTTTTGTCGGTGACTTTTCGTCGAGAGCACTCAGTTGTACGAGAATTTGTTCAGCAACACCGATCGCTTTGAGATCTGGCGGAGTTGGAAATGGAAAATTTGCTAAACGATCAATATTCAGTGTTTTTAATTGTAGAACAAGGTCCTCGACAGGTTTCCGGACAATCTCCGGTGGTGAATATTCAATGAATGAATCATTATACACAGCGGATGAATAGAGACGATAACCTAAATGAAATAACTCGATAGAAACTAATAAAAAGAAAAGGAGAACATACAATGTCCAGGTGCTGTTCGACCAGCGCGACCCATTCGTTGATTTGCTGATGCTTTCGAAGTCCATTCGATTCGAAATGTGGACACGCCAGTTAATTTATCGTAATATTTTGTTTTAACCTAAACGAAAGATGCATTTCTAGTCATTAATCTCATCGTCATACTTTGCCACAATCGACAATGTATTTCACATCCGAAATGGTGATCGAAGTCTCAGCAACATTTGTTGCTACGACACATAAACGTGTACCAGTCGGCGGTGATTCGAATACCTAAACATGAATGTGTAAGTTCGACACTAAGGCGCATGAAAAGACCTACTCGAGATTGCTTTTCCGATGAAAGTATTGCATAAAGTGGAAGAACATACAGTGGTTCAGATGTGATTCCTTCTACTCCAGCATCGTCATCGTCGTCATCAATGTCACTGGCAATTGAACCTTCTTTTCCTCCTTCGTCTTCATCAACATCAGATTGTATGTGTTCTAACTCTTCTTCATCGATAATTCCCAGTTCAGATTTACTTTCCATGGATATTTGCTTCTTCTTTTTAGATCGTTTTGATTTGAATTTCGGTTCAGCTTCTAAATATAATAAAAGACTTCAGCTGCAAAGCATTGTCTCATCCGATTTTACCATCATTTTCTATTGCTGTTGTTTGCATTGCAAACGTCTTTCGTAATCGATGACATAAAACTTGAACTTCTTGTTGACCGGTGACGAAAACAAGAATACCACCCTTTGGTAACTGACGATGAATTTTACACACTTTCTTATATGCTTCCTCAATGTAATTTTTCGGCGTTTTCTTATTGAAATGTACCGTTACAGGATATTGTCGAGCATCGATATTAATAATTTTTGGTTTGAGTTTAAACAGATGTCGATTATTAACAAACTCTTCGATTCGCATCGTGGCAGACATGATCACTAGACGAAGTGGATCATTTCGTTGGCAACGTATCGGTACGATACGTGATAATAAACCGATCAGAACATCGGTTGCCACACTACGTTCATGTGCTTCGTCAATCAGAATACAACTGTAATTTGTTAATAGGAAATCATTTTGTACTTCTTTTAATAGAACACCATCAGTCATAAATTTGATACACGTGCTTTCTTTCTTAAATGTTCCTTCATAACGAATCTGGTATGAGACTTGGCTAGAAGTAGAGAATAAGAGGGTGTTTGGGTGACAAGAGAAGCGAAATGAACGAACTCATTTGTCAGATTTAATTCGTGTGCGACACGTGAAGCCATTGAAATAGCAGCAACACGTCGTGGCTCTGTAATACCAATCATTTTACCACCCATAGTATAGCCAGCTTCGTAGAGAAACTGCGGTAACTGAGTTGTTTTACCACTACCTTTGATCGAAAGAAACGAAGATTAGCTTTTATACATGCGTAGAAGATCAGAACAGATTCGTCTTACCAGTTTCTCCACAGACTAAAACAACAAGATTATCGTGAATTGCTTCCATTATGACTTGTTCCTCAGTGATAATGGGCAACTGCGAACGAATGGCTTGGATTTCTTCACTACGTTCAACTTGAACATTCGCGTGAGGTCGAGCCGGTATTTCGACCTTCGGTTCATCGATGCTACTAGTACTACTTTGACGTTGACGTCGTTTAGCAGCAGGTGGAACGACCGGTGGTGCAGATGCCGATGTTGGTTGAGAAGGAAGCAATGCTTTGCGAATATCTTCGTCATTTATTGTTTGATCTACATCTTCATCATCAGTTGAACTAAGATCCGTATCACTGAATGACAAAACATTTATGAAGACTCAAGCGTGAGACGAGAAAAGCGATACAAACTCGTGAACTGTTTCAGTTGTCGTTTGAGCAGGACGTTTTCTTGAGAGATGATTAAGATTGACAGTAGTCGCAGAGGATGTATTTGTTAGTGCAGAATTATCAGTCGGCTGACTAGAACAAGAAACAAGAAGTTTTCGGTGACATTCTCAAATCAAAAAGAGTCGAGTACCGTTTTGTTTTGCTACCAATGTTTTTTACCGAATGCAGAAGTGCTAATTCCTCATTATTAATTTGTACTTGGCTGAGTTTGTCCAATAATTCAACACGCTAGAATATCGAAAGTGAAATAACGACGATGAGAATGTCGTTTTTTTTTTGACGATGCTCACTTTTGCTTTTTTCTTTTTGAGATCGAGCACCTTTTCTAGACGTTTGCGTTCTTTTTTCGATAATTTTCGTTTAACTGATGCTGTTGGTTGATTGACAGTTCGAGTGGTTCGTTTCTTCGAGGGTAAAATGGAATTATTATCCGCTGTTGTCGCCTCACCTTCGACAAGAATCTAATTGACAACAATGAAATACTTGAAAGAGGAAGAAAACAATGAAATTACATTTGTTAATGGATTTTGTTCAATAACAACTTTATTCTCTTGACGACCTTTCTTATTAAACCGACGTGCTAAACGAGATGGTTTCATCTATAAATGAAAGATTTCCAAGACTAGAAGCTAGACAGATCGCCTGTGTTAAGAGTTGAGTATCTTTCCTTTTGCTTTGAATAACGTATTTTTGTTTAAAACACACACACACGCACATATAAATATACATGAAAACACCGACAACATGCAAGGTACATTGAAATCAACGGAAAAAAATAGATGAAGAAAAGGAAGTGAGGAATGAATAAGAGAAACGAATGTTTATCAATATCTGACGTTCCGATGTTGATCGTTGAAAACGACAAAACAATCAAATTGTCTTTTATCTATGGCTTTTTCACTGTATTTTCGGTTGCTTGAGCTATTGTTAATACTTTTTCACCTCCTGGTTTTATCACTGTTGTTACTGGAGTTGTCTTTGGTAGAACACCCGTTTTTGGAACTTTACCTTTCGACTTCTGCGGACGATTCATTTCTGCTAGGTGTTGACGCATTTCTTCGTCTAATGAATCTATCGCAGGTTCATTACGCCAGAATGTAAATGATGAATACGTTTCACTTGCAGAGAACGAATCCATCGGAGGAAAGACTTGATCAACAACTTCATGCAAGTTTTTGTATGAAGTGGACAAAACTTGAGAGATTTTTTGTCGAAGAACTTCACCACTGGGATTAATTGTGAATATACGTGACACCGGGATGCCAACAGCTGTATACGACCATTGATCCTATTGAGTAAGAGACCATTAATGGAAATTATGCACAAAGAGTTGTCGAACTTACATTGATTCGATTGCCGAAACCAGCGTAAAACGGATTTTTGTTAGGAAATAGACTAGCAATGTTTTTCAAACACTCGATTTTAAATTCTTCTGGTTTCTTCGCAATCACTTCTCTAAACAAACAAGTCAGCTATACATGAGAACTATTTTATATCGAGATCTATGAACAAACCGATAGAATGCCGTGATTAAAGTATCTGGAGAGATTAGTAATGGGCCGATTGGTAGCGAACTACCACGTTGACTGATATTACGAAGAAAGTTTCGTGTGGCACTACTTTGTCCAATAGCACGCGCTGATAGATAGATAAACTGATATCCATTTTCTTGAATTGCTTGGAAGAACTCCGCGGTACCTTCATGATACCATGGTTGACCAACCAATGGTAAAATTTGACCAAAGACATCCGATTTTGTTATAGTACCATCGATATCCGATATGACGAATTTTGTCATTTGATCAAAGAGGAAGATGTTTGCTTCGACAATAGTTGTACCTTGAAAAGCTGTTGTCACACTAAATTCGACGTGATTACTGCCTGATCTAAGATTCAATCGTTTCAATTGATCAGATGACAAGATCATGGTTTTTCTCGGCGTTTTTGTTGAGGATGGCACTGTTTGGTGTTGACGTTGTTCGATTCTATCTGTTATGTTCTTCACTTCATTATCTTCCTGTTCACTGTCTTTTCTATAGAAGAGAAGAGGGACTATAAATCAACAATTGACGGATCGACATACGACTTTGTTCGAGCTAAATTGTCAGCTTTCAATATCGGAGGAACGACTTCCGATTTGACTGCCAATGCGAGTGCTTCAGCAGCAGCGGCGTTGGTATCGGTTGCAGCGTCATTCTTTCGACCCGAAAATAACCACCATGTACTAGCAGTGCTGCTACTTGTTTGCGATTTTGCTTGTCCCATGTGTTTGTCTTGCAAACTTTCCACCGCTTCCTCCGGCAGATGTTTATGATAAATACTAGTTGAAGCAATCAATGCTGAAGCTACTTCCCAATTGTAATACTTTCCAGCGATACGTACGACCAAATTAGGGTCGTTGATAATCGATGGATTACTTGCAAATGTGTCATATGGAACAAGATGCGCATCAAATATATCGTCGGTGATCGATGTTGATTGATTTATATTCCCACAGAGCGAAACTTGAACATCACCAAGAAGGCAGCTAGAAAAGAAAACGAAATTTAATATCAAATCAATAAATCCTACTCTGACAGAAACAAAACAATATACCCAATGACTACAGATAGCCTATCTTACCAATAGAAAAGTAATAGTTGTTCACTGAAATCAAATTCAAAAATAAGAATGTAATTCAACATGTGGTTAGATATAAGACTATTCTAATCTTATTGACAGCTGGGAGGAGTGAGTTGGCTTATTGTTCTGTGTACTTACGAAGCTTCGTAGTCTCGAACTGGTGAATGTGGGATCGAATTTCCAGTTCCTGATTCTTGATCATCATCTAAGGAATATCTTTGTTGACTTTGTTGAAAGTCTAATTCTGGCAAATAACGCGATCGATCATCACATTTGTTACTTGTTATATCTTCAAGATAGACACCTTCATTGGGCGCTGTTTTTTGTGCTGATGTTGACGATGACGATGGCCAAAAATACCGAAGTACGCTTGGTCCTTTTGGTAGTTTTCCCCATTTCCATCGCCAACCAAAGTATGTTGACGATTTTTTAGTCGATGGCTGAGATGGTTTATCGAGTTCGTATTCGGTATCAGATTTCGGACTTGTTGGCCGCGGGGGTGTCGTACTCTCAAATGACGATGGTGGAGTATAGTCCTCATTCATGTAATATGATTTCGGATCAATCGATTGACTGATACGAATTGGCACGGTGTTGATATTATTGTTTGCTAAGGGTGCCGATTGAGAGAACATTGCCTCTATCAATGAACCTGATTGATTATGAGGAGTTAAGGAATCATCATCGACTGCTGCTTTTTGTTCAATTGGTATTGGATTGGATAGCGTTCGTTTGGTTTTTTGTTGAAAATCCTCATCGGCGGCGCTATCTTCTTGGCTGCTGCTATAACTTTCATCATCGTGATCGTGATCATGACTCGACGTGATTGACACTTTGGGCGGGATGATCAATAGTTTTTTTCGACTATCGATACTATTCATGCGACTGTGCGCATCGACAAACGGCGTAGATGATTCGGATTGTTTTTCGTCATCAATTTGAAAGCACGGTAAATCATTTTCACTTGCACTTCGTCTTCGAACAATAGGCAGAGTTGAATCAGTGCACTCATTACCGTTATTCTGGTCATTCAGTGATACAGGCGTTAGATCACGTTGTCGTACACGTGATCGACGTTTACCTAATGACAGCATACTTTGTATTTCCGGATCTTGTTCGTCGTCGTTGTCTTCACCTGACGACTTATTGATTTGCTCATTGCGATTCAGTGGTCGTCGTTTTGTTCGACGACGATTTGACGTTGCCGTCGTGTTAGAATTTAAAGTATCAACTTCCACCGATGGCACCACTTGGTTTTCATAGGCATATTTTGCCACTGGTTCATGATTATTACGCGCGTTTTGTTCGTCAAGTTGTTTATTGATAATTTGAGGAGAACAATCAATATTGGATAATTGCAGATGACCATCATTGGTCAAAGCATTATCAGGATCAAGACAAGTATTTGTATTCGACGGTTCTAAATGACGAACTGGTGGAAGACTTGTTGCAGTTAATTCTTCTTCAATGAATACTGCTTCTCCAGCTGGACCCAATTCCATATAAAGATCTTCAACAAGTTTACCATTAATCATCACGTAAACCTAAACGATCGATATTGATTACGTCGAAAGCATTAGCTAATTAATCGTTACCTTATTTCGTTGATTGCGAAGAACACCTAGTTTACCGAAACGAACATGAAATGGTGTACAACGAAGCGTTCCATCCTCCTGCTTGACAACAATAACATCAATGGCACCGGTAAGTGTGGACGGATTGATATCATTGAATACCGATGAAAATGACGATACAATGTAGTTCTTAATAGCAGTCATTGTGACATACGTTTAATGCGAATGAAAATACAACATTCAGAAGTTGTACTGAAAAAGAAAACGAGAAATGAATAAATATGCCGATCACATGCTTTTACGATGAAGAAAAAGGCAAAAACGACGCTTTTCAAGGTACAAATTGTATTTATGCAATACCATGATTCATTCATTCACATACCCATCACATATTCATCTTAATGTGTACTTCGCTCTTTCTTTTGCCATCGACGATAAAGTCAATGAAGGAAGCAAAAAGGAAATACTAACAAAATATCATTACTAGTCGCTCCCTAGGAATAGTATTTATGAGTGTAAATAGATAAAAGAACGAATAAGAATGAAGATTCGCATAGGGATATCACACATCCAAACTATGTGCGTATATATATATACATGTATGCGCGTCTCCGAGCAGTTAATCGACTTGCCTGTGACGTCATCTTTTACTAGTTCTCGTAACAAAAGAAGAAAAAAATCAGAGAGAAAACGAGAAAGAATGCGAAAGAATATTCGATGCATCAGGCGACACACCTCTTCGTTCTCCTCTTGTTGTTTTTGTCTTCCGATAGCGAAAAGCTACGCGCGTGATTCTGCGGTCGACTACATACACCTCGTGATTGAAACGCGAATTCAACCTTGTGATAGAAAAAAAAAGTACTCTAAATCGACTATTAATGTAAGAAAATATCTTTACATTTTCGTCGGGAACCATATGGAGAGGTCGATTAACAATGTTGAATGAAAAAAATATGCGCAAATAATCATATACCTCGAAGCTACTGATCGTCGTTACTATGTACATAGAAGATAAAATAGATATGTCTTGTTGTGCACACCTACGTATCATCAAAAGAGAGATAATATTTACATCTGACGATTTGAATCGCCCGGTGTGTTTCTCTGAGCCCTTTGCTCATACCCTTTATCCGTCGCGGTAAGATCTCGTATAAAACTGAAGCGAAAACGGAGCGCATGACCTGAATTATCTCGAGTAGCAAGATAAAAAAAACATCGAATGATATACCTGCATTGACGTCGAGCGACCGAGAGAAAACACGAGAAAATAAGCGGGTGTGTAAAAACCCTTATCTTACCACGCGTTGTTTTTCTTTTAGCTAAAGTACATATCCATAATATACTCAATAATTACAGCGAGAAAAGTATTTTCCATTTCTATTGTATAACAATTTGATTCGTGTCTTGTTAAACAGCCTTGTCTAATGCATCAAAGGAATTAATAAGTCAATCAACGACAAAAAAAAGGGTCATTTTTGTGCTTACAATCGATGTCTATTGCTAGATAAATACATTGGAAACCTACGAAGTTCTCTCTTTATTTTCAAAAAATCAATATTGATCTGCGCGATTCGAGATTGTACACTAAATGCCCTCGACGATTATATCACTATTTTTAATCGACATACTTACGTTGCTGTAGTACGATAATAACTATGCATACGTTCGAACATGTCACTAGTAACGATCGAATAAATTAGCCTTGACGTAGATATGATTTAGTATTGCGCAGAAAGGAATTTCTTGTTGACATTTATCGAAAACAACGGAAGGGGCGTGTCGTAGTATCCTTTTCAGTGTAACCTTTTCAAAATTTATGTGCATGGTAAACATATTAAACAGGATAAACAAACAGATATGGTTTTTTTTCTCGTTCTCTCACATAATAGCATCACTATTCTCGAAGAAAACACGATCCGGACTTACTTCATGTGAGTTCGAGTTGGTATTTATCCTTTAATCGCTATCGACTTATCCATAGATCTATCTAGAAAACAATGATATTTATCTTTTCGGTAAAATTACTGTAAATTAATCATTAAAAAAAAGACAAAATAGAATCAAGTGAAAAAACAATTATTCTCTCTCGAATTTAATTTCATGCATTAGTTTTAGATTCATGAAGAACAATAGCTGCTGCTAGATCTTCGATTGCCAAGCCAACAGATTTGAAGATGGTCGTTTTCTGCTGAGATATCTCTTGTAGCAATACTTCATTGTTGACTAATTCGCCCACTTCAGCCGCAATCTTTACCTAAAGAAAGTTCATGGACAAGATATATGATATTTCAATAGAAAGAAAAAACATACTTTCGACTGGATAATCTCTCCAGCTTCTTTTATTGCACTTTCACGACTATCGACGACTACATTTGTATCCTCCGATATCATCAAATCATCAGCAAGTTCGCGCATCTTAGGGCTAAACGAACCAACCGCTAAGCAGAAAATCTGAATCGTTTATTTTTCCCAAACAGATCTTATTGACTCACCATTGATATGCACACCTTTCTTCACCTGTTTCAAACCAATTAGCGCTTGTTCGCTGCCCGTACAGGTGCAAATAACATCTGTCTCCTGTAAACGAATATCGTTCAAGTCTTTCAAGATTTCGATATGTTTCAAACGTGATGCATATTTCGATTGTAAGTCAATTGCATTCTTTACATTGCGACTCCATAAATAAACCTTGAAAAACAGAAAGAAAAATCCTCAAAATCAACACATCGTTTTCGATTGCAACCTTATTCCACTTGAATAATTGAGTGAATACTTCCAAATGTGCATGTCCTTGAACACTACAGCCAATAATGGTTAAACAAGCACGATTCTTCTCGTCATCGGTCCATTTCGAAAATGCTAACAACTAATTAAATACAAATGAAACATCTTTTGAAATTTTTTTAGGCATACTTGTGTGGCAAGGAATGAAGTCGCGGCTGTACGTTGTGCAGTGATTTCTTTCGCATCAGCAGTCTAGAAAATCTAATAAGAGTCAGCGAATAAGACTTATCTCTGATTCTCACCAGTAACAAACGACCGGTTTTGGAATCAAATAGAGATACAACGCCATCGATTGTAGGCGAACTTGCCGGGAAATATGTTATTGTTTTCACACACATATAGCCACGATGAAGATCGATGCATGGTTTATTCAAAAGAAAACTGTAAATATACAAACGAAATGATGATTGACTACTTGAGAAATTAATAATTGATTTACTTTTGTTGATCATCAATTGGTAAAACTGAACGTATAGGTTGTTGAAGTGATGGATCATGTTTAGAATATCGATGTAAAACATCAGAGAGTATCTCCAATAAAGATGGAAGCGATAAATACTGTTTCACGCTAGATTCGTCGAAATACATTTTATTTATTTATCAACTGATTTTCCAATGAGCGGAAAATTGACCAATCAGATCGAAGGTATATAAAAATGCAAATGAACCAATAATTTCACTCGAAAGATGACAGGAATGTTCACAGAATAATTTAACAAAGCATTTTTTGAGCTGGATAAATCTCGTATGAATACAAATTTACTCTTCAAAATCTCATTTCACAGGTATGTCGGCAGATCACAACGGATACTGTGGAAATCACAGAAGCTACAAAGTAACTGCACCTGTAGTTAGTTAGAATTGTATAGGATGCAGTGAAGAAAGTTTTTTTTAATATGATTGTAACGAACATGCATATCAAGGGTAGAAATGAGACATTCCAATCTGACGAAATCCTAAATGTTCTCCCATCATATAGACAAACATACCTTCACACACACCATTCTTGATCTGTTTCCCTTTATTCGTCATGGCAGATTCTTTCCAATTTAAAGATAAACATTAGTTTTTCGAGCGAAGACATTGCCAGTAAGTAACGAAATCGGTACCTTTTGTTCAGCACGTACGAGAGATGGCAGAATACTTCGACTATTTCTGTTACCATTCAACTATTTATTGGTATGCATAAAAAGCAATGGCATCATATTTTCTCCATTCTTCGCCGACAAAGCTACATCTGTTTGATTAGAGTGTTGATATTAATAAACCCAATTTAACATGGAAGATGTTCAATCACACCCGAATCCATTTTTACGTGCAACCATGTGGTCAAGAGTTTCATTAAGGTACAGAATTTATCCCTATATCGATCAAGGTCATTGAAAAATATTTTTAGTTGGATAGTAGAGTTAATTAATATTAGTCATAAACAAGGTAGACTTTACTTTCACAATCTGTACGACATTCTTCCACAACATAAATCAAAACTATTAACTGGAAAGTTGGAGAAGCGTTGGTTCGATGAAGTTCACCATCATGAAGATAACGCAAGTCTACTTCGAGCTACTGTGCATACGATTCGATGGACACCGATTCTAATTGGTTGTATACTTATTCCTTTAGTAAATATATACACTCGAGTTTGCACAAGAAAAGCATCGAAATTTCATTTAGAAAATAGCAATGATTCTTCAGCCGTTGTTGATTATTTACATGATGAAATATTTTGAACCGTGTTCTACAATGTCTACTTCACTAGCATATTCACTTGCAGTGTTCAGTTTTTTACTTTTTCTATCCAGTAGTTTTTGTCACCATGCAGTAAGTCATGTTTTACAGATTAATTTCGCAACAGCTCGGATGTCCTGTTTAGTTTTATTACCTTATTGATATATTCGCAATGAAGGTTCGAGTGGCACATCAGGGTTTAATCTATCAGAAAGTAAATTGTTTTTTTTTTGCTGATTAATATCACACGACTTCTTTTTTATGAAAGGTTCTTCGTTTATCTACACATTCGTTGAATGAATTTGGTTCTGGTCAGATAACCAATGTGTTTTCGAATGATGCTACTCAGATTGAAATGGCACTGATATCTATGAACTTCTTATGGGTAAAACAGCTCGGAAGAATTGTTTGATTTGACACAATTTACTTGTCTTTAGAACGCCTTCACTGATATCATTGCCATGACGTTTTTGTTCTGGTATTTTATCGAGTATATTACATTAGTTGCAATTGGATATACAATTATAACAGTTTTTATCACATTTGTAATCGGTCATTTTCTAGTGTATTTTCGGTAAGAGGAGATTTGATTGCGAGGAGATTTTTTTTGGAATAATGAACTTTTTCAGAATCAAAGTTTTAAAGGTGGCTGATGAACGAATAAAGATCATGTCTGAAGTGATCCGTTCGATGCGATTGATTAAAATGTATTGTTGGGAAGTAGCCTTAGATCGGAATATTTCTCGCATTCGACAGTGAGTTGAATCCATGTATAAACTTACTTGCCAAAGGCAACGAAATTCTTTTAGACGGGAAATCATTCGATACATTTTCATCTTAAGTCTCAATACTATTTCTGTGACTTTGTCGAACATCTATGTTCATATGACATTTTTAATTATGTATGCATTAATGTGGTCCCGTGGTATTCCAATTGGTATACAGTTTTTTACTGTAGCATCGTGCATGTTAACTTATTTTGAAGTATCCTTGCTTGAGTTTGGTATAGCAATACGAGATATCGCCCATTACTTATCTGCAGAAAGACGCATGAATGTTGGTTTGTATGAGAGACGATTCAGACAAGAAAGATTGAGATTTTTAATATAGACATTTTTGTTACTCGACGAATCAGAACGAGATAATCGATTAAAATCTACCGTGGACGACGGATCTGTCAGAATTGAATGCCAGTTGGAACGAGCATACTGGAATCAAGTAAGGAATTGACATTTTTATATGCCGTGTTATATATTTCTTCGGACACAGAATGGAACATTTTCTTTGCAAAATATTCTCTTCCGTGCTCATTCTGGTGATCTCATTTGCATCATTGGACCAGTCGGATCTGGCAAAGTTTGTTCTTACACTCGTTTTTACACTTCCGTCATTTATATTTCTTTAGAGCTCTTTATTGCAAACATTAACAGGTGAAATCACATACTTCGATGGTACAGTTCGACTGAATGGCTCATTTTGTTACGTACCGCAAGAATCTTGTAAGTACTTGGGAAAGAATCAATAATGGGTATGAGTGAAAAGGATTGTTGTAGGGATATTTTCTTCGACGATCAAAAACAACATCCTATTTGGTAAAGAATATGATAGTCAACTGTTTCGGCGAGTGATTCATGCCGCTGCACTTGATACGGTACGTTTTTTTGGATTTGCTGCATTCATATTTGAATGATATCATATTAGGATTGTGATCAATTACCCGATGGAATTCAAACTATGGTTGGTGATCAAGGTGTCATGTTATCTGGAGTATGTCGTGAAATAGATTTTGTAGATCGTGTTTCAAGCAGTATCATTTAGGGTCAAAAGGCGCGTGTCAATATGGCACGAGCACTCTATCGAGAGGCAGATATTTACTTATTGGATGATCCATTGTCTGCTGTTGACACCAAAGTTTCAAAATATCTATTCGAAAGGTTTGCAAACACTTATCAATCGGTTATTATTTATGTGCCATTCTTACAGATGTATCAGAGATTATCTACGCGATAAAATCTGCGTTCTTGTTACACATCAGATACAGTTTTTACAAGATGCAACTAAAATTATTATGTTGGATAACGTAAGCAAGCAAACGAAATATTTTATGGTTTTATTCAAAATAAACTATTTTTCAGGGTGAAATGGTTCATACAGGGACATATTCAGAATTATTGACATCTTCACCTCTGTTCGGCCAAATGCTCCATAATATCAATCAACAAAAATGTACGAATGATTCAAAGAAAGTTCAGACAATACCTTCATTCAGTCGGATGGCCTCGTCTGGATCAACGGATGAAACCGAAGAATCTTTACTAACTGATCATATAGAAATGCATGAAAAAGGTTCAGTGAAATGCCATGTTTATATCGATTATATTCGAGCAAGTAGCGGTGCGTTCATTGGTATTGCTCTGTTGTTGATAACATTCGGTTTCCGAGAAATCCTTTCGATTTTTGCAACTTGGTGGTTGGCTGAATGGAGTGAAGACGAAAATCATCGACATGGGCAATATGCTAATTGCACGGATACGAAAGATAAGAAAATGAATGCAATCAAGTTAATGAATGAATCTGAATGGAGCAATCATCACAATCGAAAATTCTACTTCTATTGCAGTAAGTAGAAGTGCTGAATATGGATGCGAGTATTTCACTTTCGTGTTTTAGTCACTGTGTTTATTCTAACAATTCTGACACTATTGCGTACAATTACTCTACAATCATTGTGTTTAAATGCTAGTCGAATGCTACATAATCGGTAAGAATGTTTGCAGTACGCACATCGTATCATTTTCTTTATTTTCTGAACAGGATGTTTCGACGACTTATTCGATGTCCAATAGCATTCTTTGATCTGAATCCCATTGGTATGACTTATTTCGTAAATTCTGTGTTATTTGTATTATTCGTTCTTGTTATAGGCCGTATTTTAAATCGTTTTACAAAGGACATCGCTCTGATAGATGAGACATTGCCTAACACAGTTTTCGATTTTCTGCACGTATGCTTTGAACACACTCGTTCGTCTCTATACAAATGAAAGTTTCTAGTGTTTTTTTGTAGCAGTGGGAATGATGGCTTTCGTCAGTTGGCTCAATCCGTGGTCCCTTATACCAGCGACTATCGCTAGTATTGGAATGCTGTACATCCGATATCAATATGCCACCTGTTCTCGAGATTTGAAACGTCTAGAAGGTACGACACGCAGTCCTTTCTACTCGTATTTGGCATCAACTGTTCACGGATTGAAAGTGATTCGCTCGTATCGTGCTGAACAAATGTGCTCAAACGAATTTTTTCAACACCTGGATAACAATACAAGAGTCAAATTTTTACTAACAGCAACTAACCGATGGGCAGCCATTCGATTCGAAGCGATCACCCTGTTCTTCATTATTGTAGTAACTCTACTCGCCCTTTTTGCGCGTACTACAGGTGGTCATTTTTCTACGGCAAATATTGCGCTAACACTCTCGAATGCTGTCAGTCTAGTAGGCCTTCTCCAATGGACTATCAGGTAAGCTCTCCATCTATCATGACTCATCTAACCATATTCTCATCCGCTCTCTAGACAATCAGTCGAAGTCGAAACACAAATGACTTCTGTCGAACGAATACTCGACTACTGTTCACTGCAACAAGAACAATCATCACTAAAGTCATCACCTCCTTCTAACTGGCCACAACATGGTCGGATCATCTTCAACAATGTTTCCATGTCTCATTCCAGTCAACCACATGCACCACTCGCTCTTCACAACATCTCGTTCGTCATCGAACCAGCGCAGAAGATTGGCATTGTCGGAAGAACAGGTGCTGGCAAGTCTTCACTCATTCAGACTCTCTTTCGCATGGCAACTCTTGTCGATGGTCATATCATCATCGATGACATCGACATCAACACTCTGCCACTCGATCATCTCCGGCAACGCCTCTCCATCATTCCACAAGATCCTGTTCTCTTCACTGGCACGATCAGATCCAATCTCGATCAGTTCGGTCAATACTCGGATGCTGAAATCTGGAATGCACTCGAACAGGTATGTCAGTCACATGTTGAGAGTGTCATTCATTCGCGTGAACAAATGTCGATGTAGGTGCAACTGAAGAAACTCGTACGAGAAATGATGTCAGATGGTCTGCAGTCACATGTAAGTGAAAGCGGATCGAATCTGAGTGTTGGTCAGAAACAGTTAGTGTGTTTGGCAAGAGCAATACTCAAGAAGCGCAAGATTTTGGTGATTGACGAAGCGACTGCAAATGTTGACAACGCGTGAGTAGAAGGAAGGGAGAGAGAGAGACCGATGGAAGAATATCTTGTTTTGATTGATGTAGAACGGATGAACTGATACAAAAAGCGATTCGTGAGCAGTTTGTTGGGTGTACAGTGTTGACAGTGGCACATCGTTTACGAACAGTGATCGATAGCGATCGAGTGATGGTAGGTGCAATGAGAATGACAAGGATGTGTGTGAGTTGATTTGTATTTTGTTGCTTGCAGGTGCTGAATGATGGGAAAGTAGTGGAGTTCGATTCGGCGGAAGTGTTGTTATCGAACGGTGCCTCGTATTTTAGTGAACTCGTGAAACAAACAGGTCCGGCCGAAGCTGAGCGATTATACGAATTAGCCAAGCAAAAAGCTATACAATAGTTGTTTTTTTAAATAAAATAATCCTGAGGTATATGTTCGGTGCAACGGTATGGACAGTTTATTGATGAATATCTCGCCAACATACGTACGATCGACAATGAATGATCGTTAGAAGACGATGTTAATTAATAACTTCCTAAATTTCTTGATAAAAGATGAACTCCATCAAATAGTAGATATTTTCTCGGGTGTGTTACGAGACTAAATTGATTTCAACTTAACTTTTTAAATTATTATAATATTCTTCGTTTTACTCGACTACTAAGTTCATCAATAGATTTAATTGAGAAAAACATCACCGATTAACATTTTAGAGAAAGAGGAAAATAGTCTTACATTGTTACTGAATTGTGTAAAATACTTGACGATAATAAATGTTTTCATGAGTTTTCTGCATAGGACACCGATAGTGGGAATGTCGCTCGACGAGCACGAGATATTGTTTGATCACTGTTCATGCCATTATGAATAGATAATGGTCGCACTTGTGTACTAAAACAAACATAAACAGCTCATCAGATGCTACGCAACGAAAATAAACTTACTCAAGCGATATTTGTTTTCTAAAGCTTGGTTTTGAAACTAGTATTTGAGCACAAGCTTGCATCCACTTCAAGCAAATATGTTCGTAGTCGATTTTTTTCACAAATGTTAATGAGAAGGGCAAGTGCTTGTCGAGGTAAGCGTCAAGAACCTTGGCATCAAATGGTGGTGAAAATAAGGAACGAAAATGTTCCCGAACATGATTAATGGCATTGATAACATCACCTGGAAATTTCGTCTCAATCGATTGTTTGATATGATCCGGAAGAGCACTCTTGACCTACAGAAAAAAAATTTCCAATCGGACTCAAATCGCTCTCGGCATACTTCAGTATTGTTACGATTGAGTAATGCATGTAAAATTGGTTGTGATTGATTTTCGTTTGCGTCTAGATGCAATTCTTCTAACAGTTCACCGTGTGTTAATGGTGGAAGACAATTCGAATCGGATGTTTCGACTTTGAATACATCTTGTGTGTAAAATAATCGTGAGTGTTCTAACCAATCAACAAGAATTCCATTGCAAACGCGACTTATGTTATCTTCATATTTGGGTCTATGCGTTTCATCGGATGAGTTCGACGCTTTTTCGACTGTTTTAAAGATAGCAGCACGTAGTTGAGCTTTAAAACGCGTTATCGAACCATCACGCTCTAGCGATTGATAGACCAAATCGCGCGATTCAACTTCATTTTCAGTGCGTTGATCCACGTCATCATCAACGTTCATACCATCTGAAGACATGTTCGATTTAGTTAATCAACACTACTATGAATAAAGCAGGAATCCAATGATAACACTGATTGCACTTTTCATTGGCTAATTTCGATTTTATCTTTGAAAAATTCATTCACTCTATTATTATATCATTTTCTTCGATGATAAATTCCCTACAGATGTCACTATAGCAACTTCACGACGGCTTGGTTTCTGGAAAGCAATAAAGCCGATTGAGAATATACTTGTGTCTGATAGGAAAACAACATTCGGTATCAATTCATCATTTCAAAACTATGAAAGATTCTCCCGTAACCTTATAAACGCACAATTCTATGGGCATGCGAGAGATGTTACGCTATTTGACTGCTGAGAAACGCATACGGGTAAATCGAAAAAACGTGTTCGCCTGTTGAGATTAGCAGGGGAGAGTTTCTTATAGGAATTTCTTTTACTGGATGAATCAGAAAGAGACAATCGATTGTTGTCAATGTTAGTCAGTGTTGTTTCAGCAGTTATTGAAAATAAAACAACTTCAACAGAGTCGGTGGCATGTGATTTGAAGGAAGGTCGATGGGAAAAGGTAGATCTGAAGCGTTGAAAACGACATTTCTCTTATGAATATTCATTAGAATGGAAAGTTTTCTTTGCAAAATATTCTCTTCCATGCTCATCCTGGTGATCTCATTTGCATCATTGGACCAGTCGGATCTGGCAAAGTTTGTTCTTACACTCGTTTTTACACTTCCATCATTTATATTTCTTTAGAGCTCTTTATTGCAAACATTAACAGGTGAAATCACATACTTCGATGGTACAGTTCGACTGAATGGCTCATTTTGTTACGTACCGCAAGAATCTTGTAAGTACTTAGGAATGGTGGGAGAGTAGTGGAGTTCGATTCGACGGAAGTGTTGTTATCGAATGGTGACTCGTATTTTAGTGAACTCGTGAAACAAACAGGTCCGACCGAAGCAGAATATCTTCGAACAGTGGTATATTCTAACAAATTTGATACCAAACAGAAAGAAATTGTGAAGGTTTTAGACGAGGAAATGATACCAGAAGCTATGCAAACTGGTCCTCTTATTTCTTCGTAAAAACATCGTTATACAATCTAAATAAAAATATAGGTTATGACTTTGTCTTATCTATACAGCACTATAACATCATTTATTTGATCATTATACGTCAAGGTAAGTTCAAGATTGATAGTAGCGCTATTCGATAATTGGTCGATTCTTTTTGAGTTTTATTGTTCTGTTCTAATTTTTTTTCCCAGACACACAGACCGACAGCAATATGAATTCAAGAAGCATGGTTATATTAAAGTAACAAACCAAAAAAGGAATTCATTTACTCTTTAAACACATATTAAAACAAGTCACATGGTTCTTCTTAACGAAAATGATGATATATATCAGCTAATTCGACAGAACAATACATATGCTGTCCGCTTATGGCTTGATAATACAACAAATGATATTCATCAAAGGTAGTTTATTCATTAAAAAATAACATGTTTAACTAAGCATGCTATTTCATTCTAGTGATGAACATGGTTTTACTCTTCTACATTGGGCTGTATGGTACGGTCGTCTGCCGATCGTTCAATTACTGCTTCAGCGAAATGTTCGTGTAAACGCCGTTAACCGAGGTACGATATTTCTGTCATACGAATTCGAAAAAAAAATTACCTATAAACTTATTCAGGCGATGATACACCATTACACATTGCCGTTAGTCATAATCATTTCGAAATTGTTCAACAAGTAAAGTTTCATTTCTTTTTCAATGACCTCTTTCAATCTTTTTTTATTATTCAGTTAATTAAATACAAAGCTCATGTCAATGTAACAAATATTCATGGAAACACTCCATTACACTATGCGTGTTTCCATCGCTATCTCTCGATCGCACAATCTCTCATCGAAAATCATCATGCTTTACTTTTTGTTTCAAATCGTTATGGACAAACACCATTGGATTTATGCACATCACGAGAAATCTGTATTCGATTGAAAGGTTTGTCTTTTCACTTCTCAAATCGGTTTTAAACACATAATCTCACCGTTCGATAGATTTGGCAATAGAACAAGGACAAGATGAACGAATTATTCCATTCGAAGAATACAATCAATTTTCCAATGTACGTACTGGAGACCTTCTTGGATCTCTCTCAACTCAACCAGTAATCGACATTCGAGAATTACAATTCGAATGCTGTCTCTATACGAATCATCGAAAAGAGGTTTGGCGAGGAATCTTCAACGATATACCTATTATAGCGAAAATATTCAAACTACGTCATCAGACTTACACACCAACACTCTTTCAACATGAGATCGATAAGATAAAGTAGATTCTCTCAATTTTTCTTTCTTCTACATCGAATGAAGACAACTATTTAGAGCATTCAATTCATCATATTTGCTTGTTCCATTTGCTGTTTGTCATGATACGCCAAACTTTATTATTCTCACCCAAAACTTCTATGGAAGCCAAACATTATTTCATCTATTACATAAAACAAGTACTTGAAACTCTTCTCCCTCAACAATTCGATCAATATTTCTTGCTTTCAGATTCACTCCTCGATCCGTCAACATCGAACAAATTGGCATTGTACATCGGTCGTGGTATGGCATACTTGCATGGTATATCAACCTCATTTCGTCCTCAATTTGTTCTCAACAGCCATCATATCGTGGTAAATATGTGAGAGGAGTCTTTGCTCATTAGTTTTGCATTCTTTCTAACAGATAAAAACCGAACGCATTCATTGTGTTGGGAATCAGGTATACTCTATATTTTAATCATCTTCTCATACTACTTACTTGTGTGAAATTCCAATAACTTGACTAAACCAATCGACAAACACTATTGATGTATCTCTGTCTTCAAGAATATCCATATCACTTTTGTTTATGATAAATGAACAAGAAAAATCGAAAGTTAATTCACCATTTTGCTTATTTAGGTTAATGAGGAATATGTTGCTCGGCTCAATTTGGCGGATTGTCATTTTCCGTTTCAATCCAACATTGAATTTGATCAACCTGCCTGGATGGCACCAGAAAGTAAGAGTGATATCTAGAAAAGGTCGAATATTCAGCATTTGTTTTGTATTAGCCTTAGAAAATGGAACATTCACTAACGCGTCAGATATTTGGTCATTTGCAATTCTTCTCTGGGAAATATTTACACGTCGGATACCATTCGGAGATTTTACACCGATGCAATGTGGTTTAAAAGTAATGTGTTTGCTTTGATGACTTATTTTAATAAAAATTTACCTTGAATAGATTGTTCAAGATCGTCTTCGCTTACCACCGACAGGTGTTTCATCTCATATTGATAAACTTATTCAGATATGTACACATGATGATCCAACCAAACGTCCGTCGTTCGACGCTGTCTTGCCCATTTTAGGAAAAATTCATTTTTAATCATTATTTATGTCGTTTCGTGTTGTTCAGTTTTGCAAGATTTCATCGAGCAGATAGATATTCGATATTTTACATCACACCTTCTCTTCAATATACTAAATAAACACAAGTAGCACAGTAAAATCATCCAGCTGTTTGTACGATAGATTGTTGCAATATGTTGCTCTTTTCTTTTTGTTAAATATACGCTACACGCACCATTCGATGAGTGTTTTTTTTGTCCTTCGTTGACATAAAAGTGAAAAAATGATGAAATTTTTCTATTCTGTTTCTTTCTTCATTCTCATCTGTAGATGTTATTACTACATCAATGAGTAATTTAACAGAAAGTATCATCGCTGTATTTCTTGACAAACAAGTCGATGTGTTAAGCGATACAGAATTGAACAATGCACTTACCGCTCAAGGAATTAAGTTTAATCCAGGTGATGTACGTCGACAAGTCCAAATGCTTAGTCCAGCTTTCTTTCAATTGACATCCAGGTACGACGGAACGTGGAATATTCGAGTTGAACCACAGGTAAACTAATAATTTGGGATTTTTCGTGATTGAATGTCCTTTGTATGTTTTAGCTTGCAGTTTGTCAGGATTTTCTCGATGGTCAGTGTAAATCTGATGAACCAGCGTGTGATAAACTGCACATCTGTCGACATTTTTTCGATAGACATTGTCATAATAAAGCTTGTTCCTTTCCACACAACTTCAATCAAGGAAACAATCGTAGACTAGCTGTACAGAATCATTGTCAGAATATTAATCCGATGCTAATTTGCAAACTGCTTCGTAGAATGAAAACATCAACAGTAAGAAAGCGATTTGATCTTCGTGAATAATCATGCGAAGAACTTACTGTTGACTAGATGCCCAAACCAACACGACAAGCACAGCGGGGAGGTCATCGCGGTGGTCGAGCTGACCATCGAGGTGGAAGAGGACGTGGTCGTGGTCGTGGCCGTGATCGTGGTGGTGGCCGTGGTTTTACTCGTCACGTATCGACAAGAGTGAGGGATGATGTTACTCGACAGGTGGAACTTAGCTATCCGTCATCGAGTCACGCCCCACAGATGGATATGGAAATGATTGAAATGCTTTTAAAACTCCAGGATATAGAAATTGAAGAGAAATTCAATGAAAAAGAAGACGATTATTTTCGCCGACGTACTATTCAATTAAAACAAACAAGTGGTAAAGATTTTTTCACTCAGTTGCAAAAATAAATCTTCTCTTTTATCTGTTTCTCAGATGTAGACAAACTTCTTCGAATGTCAATCCTTAAACATCATGGTATTGACATAAAATTTAAGTCTGTGAATCAAACGATTGATAAGAAAAGTTTCCTATTGAAAACGACAATCGATAATGAATCTGACAAGATCAGTCAACCTCGTTTCGCTCTATACATCTCAACACTCGTTGGAAAAGACGTAAAAACTCATGTACAAGATCTCTCATCCGAAAATGAACAGATCATTCTAGTCCAATGTGATACTGGTGTCGGTGAGTATTTCCATAAGAAACGACATGATATTGCATGCATAAACATTCGCTTTACATAGACTCTACTCAGCTATGTCGAGCGCATGAATCTCGACCACATCTGTACGGCAAACGAATCAGTTTAGTACAAATTTATGATAGTAGCGGCGTGGAGGTTCATCATAATGATAGTAATCAATCAATGACTGTCGATGATGTAAAAGCTATTTTTCAGTCAGTCTGGGATGATATCTTTGCATATGATTTTCCCACAGATGAGTCCGCCGAAGTAGATTTCATTAGTGTCGATGGTAAGTAGTCCGAAGTCTTCGAATATCTCCTACGCCTACGTTCTTCTGGTTTAAGCTATGAAACGCTGGATGTCAATAAATGAATCAGTGGAAAACAAATTTGACGTTACAATTACTCCAATTCTCGACAACGTCGAAGAAGACAGCACTCCACGATCGGACGCCGAGCAAACGACACTACTTAACAGTAATAGTGCTACTCGTTTAACTACGACTTCACCACCTGTTAATGCATCTTGTCAAACAGTCATCAAACTTCTTCCGCATTGGGCTTTAATTGCGAGCCATGCGAGATTTGGATCTGAATACAAAGCATTTATCCGTACGTTCTCATCACCAAGTTCTTTGATTGTTTTATCTCACGTTAACATGTCCATTTTAGACAATGATTTTGGAGGCGAAGTTCATGTGAATCAAGACGAAGCCATTTATTCTGGTACTTTTCCATCGAATAGTCAAGGCGCGTGCAAAGAAGCAATTCTGGGAAATAAAACACGAGATTTTATGAAACAATTCCAGTATAAAACATGCCAGGCACTAAATCACGATCAAATAAAGACTCTTCAAGAAAAATCTGATTATATCGCGTATAAACAAGTGAATGGACAAGATTATTTAGTAGCAGCAAAATTCAGCCACATGGCAGAATTACGAAGTGCATGGTATCACGAAAAACAAACAAATCCTCGATTGGAACGGATTCCACCGCTCATGAAAGGATTTTCCACTCAAAAGTAAATCCGAATTATATGGAATTGCTCATTCACACACATTTCTCTTTAGTAATGTTTCAAGGTCATCATCAATCACTTCTTTAAATTCTAACACGACTGAACAGTACGTGTGTCAATAGAGCTTTCATTCAACCGTATGACTTTTAAATTATTCAGGTTTCATAGTTTACCGACGATACCAGCTGGTATGTCGAGTTCAACATATACTATGTACGCACACGAGGAAATCATCATGTTTTCAATCGAAAGATTCGAAGATCGTTTGAAGCAACATTTACAAAATGTCTTTCATGTTAAAACGACCATTGAAAGACGAAATCTCAGTGAGACGACAAAAGGCATACGCCCTTGTATTATCGTGAAAGTTACCGGTGATGAAAATGAAGCACAGAATGCTATACAAGACGTGATGGACTTGTTTTCATCGAAGCAAACAAAAACATACGATGACGAAACTGGTAGAAAGATTTTCCCTCTTCGCAACTAATTAAATGTTCTGTTCATTTACTTGTAGATGGTTACTGGACGAAAATCAACGACGTAGTCGAAGTTATTCACTATCATTTCAAATTAGCAGACCTCACTTGTATTTGCGATCGAATTTCTCCGTCAGCGGTAGCTGCCCACTATTTTGACATGTTCAACCCACAATTCGGCATTGACGAACAACAAATCGATGATATTGTGCAAAATAAGTTTTCATCTACAGTAGTTCGTTATACTGCTCAATCAGTTGGCTCTACCCTTCAGAAAGAATGGACGGATTTGGAAGCGAAAGTTCGCAGGCGAGCTGACTACAAGAAGAACATCTGTTTCGAAACACAATCGAATACCATTCATTTGTTTGGTGTATCCGATTTAGTCAAAGAGTACCATCAAAAGTTTGAACAACTGAAAAACAAACATGAACCACAAAGATGTAAAATCGAATTATCAGATAAACAAGTAGACATTTGAAAACTTGCCTTGGCTGTGATGACTTTTTCTCGATTTTTTTTTCAGTTCAACTATTTGAAACATGTAGCCAAGAATGATCTTGCCAAACTTGAAGCACGGTATAAATCGAGTGGATGTGATCTCAGTTTGAATCGTCTACGTGAAGATGGTGAATTTCTCGCTCCGGTTGACCTACATTCGAAAATCAAAGAGTGTCTAAATGAGATCACGCAAATCGAAGAACTATCATTTGAAATTAGAGAACTCGGTTTCGATGTGTTTGTTACCAAGAATTTCGAACGAATTCGACAGATTGTCAAACCTAAATGTTACGTAGAAAAAACGATTGACACACACCGAGAATATATTCCGATTCCAAAAGCACGTGCCGCCGATCTTGACGAAGGAATAAAAGACAAACAAAATACGACATCAGCAACAGCTTCGATGGCATCTTCGACTGCAACTAGTGCGGTTGTTGACCATTCGACGGTCAATATCTGTGTAGGTGACTTAACTACACAAGCGGTAAGGGGCCATTTGAGCAAATACTATACAAAAAAATTTTTGACTTAGGTTGATGCCATTGTTGTATGCTCCACATCCCAATATCTGTGTTCAGCAATTGTGAAGAAAGCTGGAGGATCAGTCGTAGACGAATATCGCTCAATACAGTCATCGGATGGCTTTCCAAGTGCAACCAATGCTGGTGAATTGCCGTGTAAAAAGATCTTTTTCATTCCGTGGTCGGCAGATACGAACGATGACGATGATGTTCAAGCGTCGCTAAGTGTATTTATTGGAACGGCATTTCAATATGCTTCTAGCCATGCATTTAAAAGCATTGGTAAGTTCATAACAACAATGATTGATGATTCGAACATCCAGTTTCTGTAGCTTTTCCAACTGTTGGTTGTGGTGGTTTCAAAATTTCTCCATTAACAATCGCCAAGTATATGCTGAAGGAAATACAAAAACAATTGAAATTTTGTAAGCAAAAAATGAATATCTCCGTTGTCGTTCTTGCCGATCAAAAAGATGTTTTCGATGCATTTATTCAACGTCTTAATGAATTGATTACTGTTGATCCGAACATCAATGAGAAAACTTCACCGGCGAGAAGAACAGATCAGTCGAGTATTGCATTCGATCGTAAAGGTAGGTTGCCTTTTCTCTCGAGGAATTTTGCTTGATTTACATAGCATTCTGTTCTAGTCGTTAAAATAACACTAATCAGTTCAACAAACGATCATTTAATAAGATGCAAACAAGAGATTTTTAATTTGGTACGCGATGTTTCCATTACAAAGAAACTGACTGACAAACGAGACATGCTTGATTGGCCGCAAAAGACAATCTACAAGTTTTACGAATTTTGTCTTAAGCAAATCGTTATTCCAACGCTCGATCTCGATAATATCACACTTGAACTTGCCGGAATCAAAGATGGAGTAAGACGAATGTTGTCGTTTCTCGTTGAATGTTCTGTGAGTGTCTCTAGGTACATGAAGCTGAGAAATATTTTTATCAATTAACAAACGAAGCATTGAAACAAGAACGCATTCATGCCGTGTCACGTGGTGTTATTTGGTCGATGGAGAAAACACCCAATTCAGACACATGGGAACAGTATTCGTTTAAACTAAACGGAATAATTGAAGATGCTTATCTGAAAAAACTTCCTCAAGTATGCTGAAATTCTTGTAAAAAAATCTATGCATCTAATGCGAATGTTTGATTTCACTTCAGATTGAATTTACCAATGATAAGGACGAAAAATGTAGGATAGATTTTGCTACGATGGTAGAAAATGGTTCCACATCTCGTCGTGTACGTCGAAAGCCTATAGATTCGACATTACCAAGCGTTAGTATCTCAATCTAGTAAAACATCGCAAACTATTCCTTTTTCGTTAATCAGACTTGGGAACCATCAGATAAAAATTGTAAACGAGTTACATTACCAGCAGAGTCGCCGGAATATCAAAATGTACTTGCACGGTTTCATACAACCATGCTTGGTAAATATGCTCAAATAGTTAAAATCGAGCGTATTCAAAATGAGCGATGGTACAAACAGGTAATTTGCTGCTTTTGATTAACTGAATTACGTGTCCTTTCTTCCAGTATGATGCGCATCGCGAAGATTTCAAACGACGTTATTCGACCTTAGATGAACGTCAACTGTTTCACGGCTGCCCTAATACATCTGTTGATCAGATTATTGAAAACTGTTTTAATCGATCATTTGCCGGTGTCAACGGTGAATTCATTCACTAGAACTTAAGCGCATCTCATACTCTACTTTTAGGTACGCTATACGGTTTTGGCGTGTATTTTCATGCTCAAGCAATTTATAGTCACCAATATGCACCTGCAAATAGTGCAGGACAACGTACAATGTTTCTAGCAAGTGTTCTTATTGGTAAAACAACCAAGGGTGATGCAAGTATGAAAACTGTTCCAACTGGCTTTGATACAACTACGGACGGACAACATATCTTTGTTGTCTATCATGACGCCGGTGTTTATGCAGATTATTTGATCACCTATAAATAATTTGTTTTTTATTTTCATAACTCAGAGAATCATACTGTGTGATATTTTCAATATATTCAAATAAAAGATATGTTGTCTCCTATTTTAGATACTGTGTCATTTAGATCAATAGGTGATGGCAAGTGCGTATAATTTATCCGATGAGATTCTACGTGTGTTTGTCAATACACAGCGAAGTGAAATGACATTGGCCGATTTGCATCAGCATTTAGTTAATCATAGGAATCGTTTAACTACGGATGATATTCTTTGTGCGTTTCGATCGGCAAGTCTGATGAATCTTTTCAATCTACAATCGATATCTAATGAGTTATGTTTAGTACAATTGAATCCAAAAGTAAGAAAGGTCTTCATACGCATTTGCTTTGTTCTTACATCTTGTTCTTTAGTTAATTCTCTGCGAACTTTGTCTAAAGCGACAATGTAGGACGATGCATTGTTCAAAACTACATCTCTGTTGTTTTCCAGCCCATTTCTTTCGCAAACCATCGGATAAAGAATGTTGTTTTCCGCATAAACTTACTGAACATCCAAACAATGTCATACTATTAAGAAAATTCAATTATGAAGTGTTTGATGAAAATCTACTTCTCGATATACTTCGTCTTCATCTTAAAGCAAACAAGGAAAATGAAGCGACTAATACCAAACCGTTCAATCCAGATCGACGTTTTCCGGCGAAACAATCACCAGTACACCTAAATAATCGTCCGCCAACGAGTAGCTCTCCAACAGCTACACCGAAGCATCGAGTCCTGAAATCAAGACCGCCATCAACCACAAAAAAATCACCTATTCAATCAACAATTCTGAAAGAAAATGTAGCCGAACGACAGTTAGATATCTGTATTCCATCAGAAAAAGATGCACCAGACGTTGATCTCGAAATTGTTCAATTGGTTCTAGCAACAAAAGACATCATTGTCGAACCACAATTAGACAAACAAGTTTCCAATGATTTCTATCGAAGATATACTTTGCAGTTTAAGAGTAAACAAAGTAAGAACTTATTGAGAAGATAAAACATATAATCATTGAGTTTCTCTTTAGTTGTTGACCATCTGCTACAAACTGAGCCAGTTATCATTTATAACAATGTTCCCATTAAAATGAAGCGAACGACCCGACAGAGAGACGCACGACTTTTCGCGTTTAAATTTGATACAGATAAAAAAATTGATTCGATGCGTTTGAATTTATATGTCGAAACGCTCGTGGGTAAACAAAATGGGGATATAATTGATATGACATCGAATGGTAGTGAGCAGCAAATCTACCTCGTTCGTTGCAAAGAACCAATCGGTTTGTAGACTGATATTTTACTGTGCCAGTAAAAAAGCACGACTCTTTCCTAGATTTCAATCATTTATACAGAATATATTCAACGAAAAATACGTTACAAGGTTTTCGTGTCATTATTACTGAAATCTATGCAGCGGAAACTCTGGAAGTGTCTTTTATTCCAAATACACTTCATAAACCGATGAGCATCGAATATTTACGAAAACTGTTTGGCGAAACTCGCTGGCAACAAGATGTCTTTGCTTGCACTGCTATTCATGACGAATATAGCGCTGATATTGAATTGATGAACGAAGATGGTATAGTTTCTGATCGAACCAAAATTTCTTTTCTCGATATTACTGTTCGAATGGTTTGTTTTAGTTACGACCAACTGGTTATTGGATGCGAATCGGTTCGAACGAGATCTCTTTCTTAGTATTCGTCCTATCATTGATTTCATCACACCGTCTGAAAAGAATGAGGAAGAAGATGATGAAGAGGTCAGGAATTTACTTGCTGAATCGCCAGTGGCAACTTCCATTTCACCTACCAATGCTTCGGTTGACTCATCAAAGGAGGAGAAAGACTTACATGTGTACCGGATCAAGCCAGATTGGCGCATCGTTCTCACACATCCAACATTCGGCAAAGACTATCGAAAATATATTGGTAGGAATTGACTTTTCATTGCCATTTTACTTCATTTCGAATTTCTAATTTTCAGGTGAAAATCTGAATCTATCGGTTCAAATAACCGGCTCATCAATTCATGTACCCAACGAACATCTACGAAAAGAGCTAGCCCGTCATACGAATATGTTCATACAAAAATTTGTTTTTCACGAAGTGAACAATCCCAGTAAAGCACAAGTACAATTAATCAAAGAAAACTACCATCGTATGGCACACAAATGGCGACAAGATACAACAGTCACATTAATCGCAGCCCATCGCGATGTAATTGACGAGCTTCTTGCGCAACTTAATTCAGCTAGTCGACCGCCATCGAAGACAGTCAATACTCCAGCATTACGAACACGACCTTTGCCTAATGTGAAAAAACAATCACCATCATCATCGCCGAAACCATCCAACGAAGAGTAAATACAATCATTCTTTGTGTTACATCGAATCTTTCTTCTTCACAAACTAGATCCCTTACAAGTCAACCGTCAACCAAATCCAACGAAGAAAATACATATCTTCTTCCATATTCGATCGAGAACAGTGTCTATTTTCCATTTTTTCATACGTCTAATTCATTTCCTGATCGACTGAGAACTTATCTATCGAGTACTTATCATATTACTCTAGAAATCAAATTCGTCTCACCAACAAAACTAATGCTTGAACTGAGTGGTCAGCAGAACCTTGTCCACGAAGCACGAAATGTCTTACAGTCACTTTTTACATCATTAAAAAACAAAACATATTCGAATTCATCTACATGTAAGTCTTTGCCGTTGAAATTTCTTCGTTGTGCATATCAATGTTCATTTCAGCTTGTAAATTCTCAATCCCCGATGTTCAGCACGTAGCACAATGGCATCTGGATCAAAGCGGAATCGTCTCATCTTGCACTTATTCACCAAGAAATGGTGGAACACTATTAGTACGATATTTCGCTGGCCATCCACAATTCGGTGCTGACGAACAAACCATCGATGATATTATCCTGAATAAACTTTACGATAAAAGTTATCAATTCTCAGGAAATAGTAAAAAATTTGAGGTAAAACTAAATGAATTACAGAAGACGATTCAAAGCAGAGCAGATTACGGGCAACACATCTGCTGTTGGTTCCAGTCTCAAAAAGGATCGACTGAGAAAAGCCAATCGCTTTCAATATATCTCTGCGGTAGCAAACCGGTTGTTCACGAAGTTTACATACAAGTAAAGACACTCGCAGACGAATATATACCCACGAAATGCGATGTAGCATTGGCATCAAATCAGGTATAACATTGCGTACGAATGATCTTGTTTGCGACGTGTTTCATGTCACTTTAGATTGTTTACCTTCTCCAATTTTGTCAAACGGAGATAAAGAAATTTGACAAGCGGTACGAAGATGATGGCGTGAATATACTTACAGGATTGAAGTCGGATGGAACGAGTCAAGTTTTAGCACCGAAATATCTTCATGCGGAAGTCAAATTGTTCCTATTTGAAATGGGTCAAGTACAAATGGTTTCGAAAGACTTCAGATGTTCCTCACAGTTACTCAAAGAGAAAAAGAGTGAAATCAGCACATTAGCAAGTAGAAATCATTGCTTACTGTCGATTAACTCATCATCATCATCGTCGTCGTCATCATCATCGCTACCAAAAGTTCCATCTTCTCCTGTAACACATCAAATATCAGTGAAAGTTGGTCCTGGAGAAATTCATGTGATCAATGGAGATCTAACAAAAGAACAAGTCAGTTGAATGTTCGTTCGAAATTCAGTAAGAATCTCTTCTCGTTAGGTTGATGTTATCGTTATATGCTCAACATCCACGCAACTTTACGAAAAATTTATCAAAGCAGCTGGCTCAGAAGTCGAACAAGAACTAAAAGGAAAAGACCTTGCAAATAAGACGATTGACACATCCGTTGGACAGTTGAAACAAGCGAAGCGGTTATTTTTCATACCTTGGGCTCCACCAAGTGCATATTTCACCAATTCAGATTCTGATTCACTTCGTCAGTCGATTATTGCATTTATTCAAGAAGCAATTAAGTTTACTATTCAGAAAAATCTTCAAAGCATCGGTTTGTTGATAGAAATACATCAGCTTGAAGAAAACTTTCGAAAAATTTTAGCGTTTCCGGCGATTGGCTGCGGAGGTCATCGTATACCATCGGATGTCATTGCGACCATTATGATCGAAACAGTACAAAAGGAGCTTCTATCTAATTCAAAAGCTCAATTAACAGTGAAGTTCGTCATTCAACAAACAAACGTTTGCTTGGATTTTTCTGCAAAATTGAAATCGATATCAAGCTCGGCTACTGCTAATCGAACCCGCACTTCATCACCAACTCATTCGATGAATGCAGAGAGTGAGCGTCTAATTCTCTTATACTAAGACAATATTATCGCTTTCTATTTCTAGAAGTTACTATCACTCTGACAACCTCCAATGTGAATGTGAACGTTGCAAGGTCATTATTAGACACGATTGAAAATATTCTCGCCTGATTTTCTCGTTTGGAAGAATGTTTTTCTTCAAACTTCGTTTGTCTCATGATACGTTTTGTGTTCTAATATAAGTAAATTCCGTTGACAGTATCATTTCTTACTATCAGACTTTTCTGTGATCACAAGCGGACGAATGCAGTTCACTCTTTTTTCGTATATTCTGATTGCAAGATTATTAGACACATGGATATAACTATTTTATAACGTAGATGAACGAAATCGTAGTAATCAAGCGTTCTTTCTGATTTCGACTCGAAAGTACAGAGATCTTGAGAGGTGTTGTTTAAGTATTCTATTTTACTATTAGTATATTTTGCACAGATGTAATCATTTGACAACAAAAAAAACCTAATTGACACACAGAGAATGAGCAAAATAAACCTACATCCGATATGACAGTAAACACACAGAAAAAGAAAAAGATTATTGTATATAAATTGAGTATATATTCCGTCGTATATTTGTATCAATCTAAATCCAAACAACGCGAAGTCCATTTATCGAAAAGTGAATTTGAAGAGAGCTTACAGAATCAAACTTCAACAGCTGTGTTACCGTTAACCAAGTGATTATGTTCTGACTCTTTGACTTCTATGATAGGCGTTTCGGTAGGTTCAGCAATTTTGATTTTCTTTGTTTGATCATTCGAACGGTCGTCACTATCAGTCGCTGTCTCTTCCGTTGATTCATCCTCTTGTTCCAATTCGCGTTTCTTGCTATTGGTACTGTCGGTACCATTTGAGATGACAGTTGACTCTTCTTTTTCACTTTCGTTCACTTCTTTCAATGGTACATTAGCTCGACCGGGCGAGACGCACGCAGCCGGTACGGTTGTACACACATCAGTGACATTTTCTTGTTCAGTAACTGATTTATTCAATGGAGCGGTCTCTTCTTCTTCTTGTTTCTTTTCTACGGAAGTTTCTTCCATTGTTTTCGAAGATACATCTTCGGTAGTTGCTTCTTGACCGTTCGTTTTGACTTCTTCCTCAACCGGAGTTGATTGTTCACCATTCATTTTCAATGTCTCTTTTGTCGTGATGGAATCTTCATTGATCTTTGATGTGTCTTCAGCAACTGGTTCAACCACTGTTGTTGGTTCTTCGGTTTGAATGGGCGCTTCAGTGTTTTCCATGACTTTTCTCAAAAACAAACTGAAACGGTAACAATACAAGTGATCAATAGAGGAATTCGACTCGTCCGATGTGTTTGCTTACTTTTGAAAGAGGAATGAACTTGTTGTGAATAGTCCGACGGTTAGATGTAGAATGATACGTTAAATCGAAGGCGCAAGCGAATTATATGAGGATACGAACTGACGGACGGACGAAGAGATAGATATATAGAGAGATAGCTGGCCAGACAGACAACGGATTATTGTTCAATTTTGAACACACAAAGAATTAACGGATGAATTCTGTAAATAATTTTCTCAACTATTGAATTATGCAGAAAATCGGTGGAAATTAAATTTAATTAGGATTAAGATTATTAAAAACCCGAAATTATATCGAGATCATTGATTGGTAATTGGTGTGCACCAATAGAAAACGATTGGATTTCGCATAGTAATATAGTTTTTGATGATAAAATCAAACATTTCTCGTCACTCTGTTCGTCTTTGTCTGGGAAGAAAAAGAACGGTGTTATGTCAACGACGGATGAAGAAATTACGGCCGTGTCTAATATAGAAAATGCGAAAATATCCGATGGCACAAGTACAGCTGGTGAACACAATAAAGATGTTCTAAATACCATGGAGTCCGAAGAACAATTGCAAAATGTCGAATCTCTCGGCAAAAATGACACAGAAGCAGAGAGTTATGACAACCGAGAAGATGAATTAGTCAATGATTCGAACCAAGAAGATCATTGTGCAGTTACACCAAAGAAAAAATTGAAAATAATCGAATCTTATACCGAAGAGGCAGACGCCAAAGGATTGAAAGAAGAACTAATCTTGTTCTAGATCAACCGTTGTATCAGATATTTCTTTTATCGTTATTTTAGATAAAATAATCATGACAACAACAACAACAACGGCATCATCAAATCGTGTGGAAATTAAGTCAGTTCAACGCGAGTTTTTTTCTTGCTAAAGTTAATCCGATCATTGTTTAGGGATGAAGAAGCCAATGCATCGTTTCTACTTGGTAAACGCGATGTACTGTTGAATAATTATCAATCAGCATGCGACCATTTGTCGAAGACTTGTGAACGAATGTGAGAAAAAGCATTGTCTTCTGCGTGTATAAACGAACGAAGCTTTCTTTAGTGTCAAATTGTGTGGAAATGACACGGCACCCGAACTTGCCGAACCATATTTCTATTATGGTCAAGCATTACTCTATCTTGGTCTTAGTGAACAACAAGTGTTCGGTAGTGATATTGTCAAAGGTTAGAAGCAGGCTGGTGACTGTTCTTCTTGGTTAATTTGGTGTTTTTTTTACAGATACAGATAATGATGAAAATGAAATTATCGAAGAAGAGAACGAGGAAGAAGACGAAGCTGAAAAACCAGCGGAAGCTACTGCTAATGGTGAAGAGGGAAGCAATGAAAATGAGGATGAATCTATTCCTGATGATGACAATGTCAATGATCTCGAACGTGCCTTTGAAATTCTCGAATGTGCACATATGATTTACTCAAAGATGTCAGATGATTATCCAAACGATGCATTTATTACCACGCGTATTGCTGATATTCATGTTATGCTGGCAGATATCTGTAATGAAAATGGTGATCACGAAAACGCTCTCTCACATGTTCTCAAAGCCATCGAATTACAAGAAACCATCAATGAACAGCAACGTTATCGTTTACTTGCTGAAAGTTACTATAAATTAGGTTTAATTTATGAATTGATAAGTAAATTCTCGGAAGCTGTGGACAGTTTCAATAAGGCGATTGATGCAATTCATCAGGCCATGAAACAATTGGATGGTGACGATAAAGAAAGCGAACGTGAAGACTTGAGATCACTCTTACCAGCCATGGAATTGAAACGAAACGACGCCCAAGCATCGGTCGCCGATCGACATCTAATTGCCCAAGCACGAAAGATTCTCTCGGGAACGAGTAACACAACCGAGAGTAAAACAACCGAAGAGCCGGCGAAAGACATTACGTTGAATATTCGCCATAAACGTCCAGTGACTGAAATCGAGAATGATGAAGATGTGACAAAGAAAATCAGAAATGAATAAAACGACAAATTCTGTGTTCTTGTGAATATTTGCTCAATATTGAAATAAAACTCATCTAGTTGTGATTATTTCTTGTAGATGGATTTTAGTCATTTAGCATTTGAATTTCAATGGGAGCAATGTTTTTCCTTAATAGACAAGTGGAAAAACACCATGATAGATCATATTCTTCATATTCATCAAGAGAAATCTACCGAAATCGAAATGTACAAAGAGCAAGCAGAAAAAAGTCGACTTCTCGAACAGACGAACTTAATCTTAAATATGAACGAGTATTTCCAACATCCTTGTATATTATCCAATGAAATCAATTCGTTTAAAACTCGTTTAAATCAGCTAAAACAAAATATTGTCCATCGACCACTACCTTTAAACATCGAAATCGATTCGACTTCTTTGAAAAATTCCATTTTAATCCATCCGATTTTCGATCAATATACTTTCAAACAAAGGAAGCTCCTTATTGAACATCAAATCAACCCACAATCCATACATCTCATCGCGACATCAAATAATCAGATTATTCTTGTTAATAATCAATCAAAGATCTTCTGTTTTGACAAAACAATTGGTTTTATCAATGAAATCAATCTCTTAGATTACACAGATGAATATCTAAATGATATATGCTGGTCATCGGCATATAGAAATTTTCTTTTCCTTTGTGAATATTCGCTATGGTCACTAGAAACGTTACATTTGAAAAAACTTGCACAAATATCGAACAAAAAACATTTTGTGAGCAATTTAACATCGTATCGGAATCAAATCTTTCTCGTTTATAATCAAGGAGAATTCATCGAACGATGGAACGTTCGACCCGCCTGGAAATTAGAAAAACGCTGGATAAAACAACACGAAAACGATATGTTTATTTCAATAAGTTCCAACCAGCAACATTTACTATTTTACACCACTAAATCCATTCAAATATGCACAAATGAATTGATCATTCAATATACCATTGATTTAACCAACCAGGAACACATTTACTCCAATTTCATATTCTTATCCCAATATCAAATTTGGTTAACCATTGATAAGCATATGCAAACGCTCAATTACTTTCATATTCATCAACGCACTATTGAAACATTTGATCAGATAGATATCCGATCAATTAGTTCCATGGGTGATGATTTAGCACTTATCACTAAAGATAAACGCCGCTTACAGATAGTTTCATTGGCATAGATTAGGCATGTTCTTTCTCTCTTGCATTTAACTTGTTTATTTTTCATATGTAAATGATGAACACATATGAACTTGATATTTTAGATAGATATTTCTTATGGCAAAGGCAGTGATTACAATTCTCTGTCCAAGTGGACATCGACGAAAGGCGAATATGACACCGAATAGTAATTTATTACAAGTGAGAATGACAAGTCGAGATTTGAAATTTTACAGACTTTGGAACTTGTAGGTTTTAGAAGATATGTGTCATCAAGAAAACTTAGATTCATCTGAATGGGGTATCACGTAAGATGATTGCACATGAATTTTTCAATTCAAGTTGAACGTTAATGATTATTCTAGCCATCAACGTAAAAAGTGTGATTTGACGATTCCGTGGCGTTTGGCAGGAATTCCTACGAATGCTCTTTTGGAAATGTATAAGTTAGAAGAACGCCGACCGATGAGTGATGTGACTATTCAGTTGCAACTATCAGATAATTCAAGACATGCGGGTAGTTTTCAACCGTCCATCACTCTTCGAGAAATGTTAGAGCAATATCGGTGTCAGCCGAACAGGTGAGTCGTGGTAATCGAAGATATTGGCAATTGTATTCTTCATGAAATTGAAGTTTAGTAGCAGTTTTTGACAATTCAATAAATAATGACGGACAGTTACATCCGGTATGTTCGTATATGAGTGAAGAAATTATCGGTGATTATGCCTTGTCGAATACGACGATACGTGAATTGGGATTAACTAGCGGAGCAGCTGTGATTCGGTAAGTTTTCGAGAGAAATCGGACGAAATTCGAATGAACGTTGCCTGTAGTTACAATCATCGTGCAATGAATGAAGAGGATTTGAAAAAGATCAACAGTCGCATTGATGAAAAAATCGCGCGCCGTCACCGACAATCTCAACCACAAACAACAGAATCTACACCTGCTCCTCCTCCATCAGCACAAGCAGCAACAACAATATCTGTACCTCAATATCCAGTCGTAGATACTTCAGTAACATCCCTTCGGAACGATGAATATTCGATATTTCGCGATATTCCCGCATCACGTCCAGTTCCAACCACGGTATTTTGTGAACACTTTGATAGGGAAGTAACGAAAGTATATTATCATCCTTCTTCTTATCGTAGACTCAACAGCAACAACCGAGAACATTAGCTGAAGCTCTGGGTATAAATATTTCATTGGATCAACCATCTGTATTCGAACAACATCAATCACTACAATCTCAACCTAACTTTAGCAATTTTAAAGTAATTGAAAATCGTTATAAACACACACTTAAATCAATTATTTCAGTTTCCAGAGGCAACCAAAGGACAAAATCTCTTTCAAAATGAACTTTCTGACAATAACCCTCGCTCCCAAAGTTCGAAAGTAAGTCTTCACAAATGGAAATTATCTCTATATCATTCTTTTCAATTCTAAATAGTCCTGCGATCGACACGCTATGGCTTACGATCTTACAAAAATTCCATCTACGCCCATCAATAGAACTGAAGATTTACCAGATAGTTTCTTCGAGTTAACTCCTGATGATCTCCGATCCGTGTTAAACAGTTTAAGACAACAAAGGTAATTGCAAATATTTGAGTTACAAATCTAATTGATTCATTTAGTGAGGAAGAAAATGCATTAGAGACACGTTCAATGCGTGAGCGAGCTCAGTCAGCACGTGCTAATTCGTATCAACATATCGCTATACGTCTTGTTGTAAATTCCAGTCTTGTTCTTCAAGGTTTATTTTATCCCCAAGAAACAGTTGCGAGCCTTTTGGAATTCGTCCAAGCAAACCTGATCTGTCCTCAACTGAATCAAGCAGAGTTTTATCTTTATACATCACCACCACGTGTCGTCCTATCAAACTTAACGAAATCACTCTCGAGTTATGATTTAATCCCTGCGGCTTATGTTTATCTTGGTCATCGAAAAGTTTCACCACTTTCTGTTGAACTCGCGTCCAATGTTCCCATTGGAACGATCGATGAAGCGAATCAATTAGTAGCCCAGTATGTTTTCAATCGATCGCAGGCGTTAGGTGTGGAAGATGCGAATGCGACAAATCGACCAGTTAAACGAAACACACCGATGAACAATATGGATGACAAACAGATCCGAGATAAATTGAGTAAATTTCTACCTGGAAAAAAATAAGTGATTCAAAATTATTTTCAATTTTATTTTGATTTTATTCACGAGTTTTAAACACATAAACGAGAACACAAACTTTCTAGCATAAAAAAGAACAGTATTTCTTGTCAACACGTGACTCACTGGTTCTGAATATGTCAACAATAGAAAATGGCCTTAAAGTATATGCAAGAAAAGATTCATATGCGTTTGTTGTCATCGCCATATCATAAAATATATCTAAGCCAGTAGATATACTTTTAGCGAATAATACCATTGTGAACAAGAACATTCTATACAAAATGGTTAAATTTATTCAATCAACAGTTATCATTTAACATGAAAAGATAGAGATACAACGAAAAGAATTATTCAGATTTCATTTGTCTGTGCAGATTAGTATAGAACTTGTGATTTACTGTAACCGACTCGGTGTCTTGGATGTTGATTCGGATGTCGACCCGTGCATATATTTGACGGACGACAACGACAGATAGGGCAGCCGTTTGTATCTAGGAGATGACCACATTGACAGTACATTGAACACGTTGGTGGACATCGTCGAAGTCCATTTCGTTGATAGGAAGGATTAGCTTCAACATTCTTCGGCATTAAAAGAAGGCAAAGTCCGATGGTAATGAAATATAGGAGCAGAAGTACTTTCCCATGCATTATGTTTGAATACTAGTAAAGAAAAGCTGACAACGAACGTTTTAATTTTGCTTGATGCGTAGCAGTGCTAATGTATATATATATATATACACGTTCTAGAGAACAGCAGAATAGGAGGAGAAAGATGTTCCAACAACGCAATATACATGAGTCAGACATTTTCTTCTTCTTCCTAGTTTCTCGTAGGTCCATGGCTTGTTATTATTTATGCGATAAACTGATACTTTGCTGCATTCTTGTACATTCTTTCTTAGCTTGTATATCAGTAGGCTAATTGTATTTATCCATAATCGATACTCACAGATACCATGGCTTCGTTAGATATATGCTAAAGATATAGATTCAGAAGAGAAAGTTAATTTTCATGTTGAATTGATATGTACAAAATCTACGAACTTCATATCGCGACATCTATCGTTTTCTAACAATGTATCGATATCATACAACAAAATCTTGCGAAATTGAAGGATTAAAATCGTTCTGAAAAATTGCTAATTCAGTGAAACGATTGATTGTCTTGTTTTACAAGTGATTTTCAAGCTCCAATAACATTTCAGATCGAAATTCATGATATCGAATTAAATCATCGAAAAATATCTTTCGAACATCAAAATGCTTTCAACCAGTCGATCACTTTGTCTGGCTCGATTAATTTCCCATCATTCATTTCGTTGTCTTCCACGTGCTGCTCCATCGAATGATCAATCCTCAACAGCGACAAAACCATCGGATTATGCCGTCATCAATTCATTTTCTCAACATCAAACAGCATTATTCAACGATTACCAGGTCGTCAAACCGAAAACGATTCAATCACGACCCGTACCGAAATCTGTTCCGAAATTAGTCGATATTCAAACTGGACTGAACCATTTCATTAAAGAATGTGACGAACGCACATTGCTGTTAACTGTTGAAAATAAGTACAAACTATTCGATAGCACAAATGTAGCAACTTTCATCGAACGTCTTCATGAGTTGAAAATCCAACGTGATTCTCAAGAAAGATTGCATCAACGAATGTATGATTTCGTCGATTATTTCAGTAAGAGAAACAAACATCAATAGAAATCTATTCCAAGACTTAATCTTTTCATTTTAGTACTAAAACATGGTTCGCAATTAGATTTCGATCATGTTCTCACCATCTACTTCCAACTATCATCATTAAATGGCACTGCGAATCTTTCCTCCTTTTCCGGCACTTATGCTGTAAAAGCACTTATACAATTATTAAAACATAATGTTAATAAATACCATATCGAACATGTGGGTCGTATTTTACTCGCTCTTGAACAAGATTTTCATTGCAACATGAGAGATGACGAACGTATTCGTCCACTATTCGATGCGCTTCTTCTCCTAACAAAACTTCGTCAAAACGAACTCGATCGTTTAGATGCACGATCATTGGCGGAACTGGCATATGTATTTGCGTCTGAATTAGATCACATCTATTTTACAAATATTCTCAATGAATATATTCATGATGAATATTATCATGATAAGTATTCAACGTTGTTTATGTTTCGTGCATTGAACCGGCGTGGTTATAAACACAATCGAGCATTGGATATTTGTCTTCATTTTGTACATGAAAACAAAGATTTATTTGAAGAAAATGAATTGGATGAAATTAAACAGTGTTTAAACAAACTAGATTATCATATATCCGATGAATAATTTGTTATCTCTATTGTTTCTTGTTTATTTTCAGATACTATTCATTTTGACTTAGTTATTTATACGATTATTTTCTCAAATCGTCCGATATATCGATGTTTACGATATAATTTACAATTTGATTGAAAGAATCGACGAATATGACATATTGCTTTAACGTTAGATCTTGCTGGACAGTGTTTTCGCATCTAAGTACAATTTTTTTGAGGTACTTATAAAATAAAAACGAAACTCGAACATTGTAAGGATGCTTGATGTCTAACCAAACATTTCTCTTTTCGTTCTGCATGATTTTTGGTTCTATATGGTGTGAATCCAGTGACTTGTTTTCTTTCTCATGTGACATTGCTTTGGTATCGTGAAATAAAAAAGTTTGTTGCTAATGGATTTCATCATATGACCCGAAAGAAAGTGAATTTATTTTTTAACAAAAATAATCAAACTCGACAACTAATGGAACAGAGAAACTTAACAATCAAATCACGTCCGATATGTTGTCTTCGGTGATGTTTGTCGAAAGATTTTAAATAAACTTGTTGCACATGCGAATGCCCCACCTTGTAGAAATCGAACAAGTTTATCGCCGGCAAGCGGACCTAATGCATACATGTGTTCAAAGTCGATGCATTCGTATGTATACGGATTGATTTGCAGAGCGGTTTTCGTCTTTGTCGATGTTCGTTGAAGAAACGGAGTTGTGACTTCAGCACCTGTGAGTCTCGCGACAAACGAGACTTCGTATTCACTAGTCGAATGTGTTCGAACATTACGAATATGTACAGTACCATCTTCCGTTATGGAAACAACTTCACTTTGTGCCAAGCATTGATAGGACCAATCGGAGGGCTAAATTTGAAAGGAGAAGATTTCCATTGGCGAGATTTTCCGTGTGAAGAACTTACTGATGATGAAGATAATTTAGCCATATCTTTAATAAGTTCGTATTCGGGATAGAGAGAAGGAGATAATTGGTTAAAGACGAGTTCATGATCATCAATTGCACGACGAAAAACATGCAGAACAGGTATAGAATATTGTTGACAAAGAAGAATTACATCAAGAGCAGTTAGTCCACACCCAATGACAAGCAATGGTTTATGAGTTTTAGTTAAATATTTTTTATTAATGATAAGATCTTCAATATCAGATAAACATGTATAAGTAAATGATTGACTTATTTGTTCTCCCATGAATCCCAGAGGAATGGTTTTTTCTTGCGGAATGCCAGTTGCTAAAACGACGTATTTGGCATGGATTATAAATGGACTTCTCGTCTTTTCTTCATAACCTCGTATTTCCCATAGTGGTTCTGATGTGCGAATTTCTTCGTTGACATCATCGAAGATCGGCTCACCGAGCGAAACACGTTCGATCGATGTCACTTCACAACCGTTTCGAAAATGATTCGTTAAACGATTTCGTTTCACGTAGTGAATGTAATACGAGCGAACTTCTTCATATGTCGCTCTCAAGGGCATATTATCCTCGATAGCTGACGACTGTTCGTTTTGTGCTGCTAAACGCAGTCGATGTGCTCGACGTTGTTGTCGAAATGTACTCATTGAATAGTTGGGCAACTCCATCCAATGAGCCATGCTGACAGTTTGTAACTGTTTCGACGTTAAATTATTCCAGACACCACCGATTCCACCACGGCCTAGGCAAACGTGATTGATGGCTGACGACGGGTCATGGCGCCATTTGAGTTTCGATTGTAAATGTGCGCCAAGATCAGCATCAGGATGTGTCAGATGATCAATTAGTAACGAAACAGGATTTCGTGAACGACCTTCTAAACCATCGGATAGAAACTCCAGATCCTAATCGAAACAAAACGCTATCGTTATCGAATTTCTTCATGTTTACTCCACGAACTTGTTCGAAGAGAGAATTGTCCTTGACATGTTGTTCCAGTTTAATATTCAAGTAATCATTCGACACTGGACAACCATTCCAATATGGCACATGGCCAGAAAGAAGGTACGAAAGAACAATAGCAGATGGTCCATTACCTAGATGTGTAACGAAACATTTATGGGATGCTATATGGAAGATTTGAATACTTGCCAATGATGACAACGTCTTTGGATTCACAGTTCTGTTTCTCAATTGTATTCATAGCCATGCATTCGTTTCTATCTTATTGGAGAAAATTATCAAATACTCTCGATTCTGTTTTGTAATACAACGAAAGATATGTAGATGAAAATATGCCTTGTCATTCTTAAATATATATATATATATATATACATCGTCTTTTTCTCTCGCTCTTTTTTGTATTGGCATTTAAGAGAAAATTGTTTTTTCTTTCCGTTCTTTTCTCTATTTGAAAGAAAAAAAAAGGTCGTATTCGTTCGTCTCTTTTCTTTTTACAAACAAGAAAATAACGAAAACAGTATGCAAAGTTCAGTACTATCATGAAATCGAAACAATAGAGTCTATAGTAAATAGACACGCACATCTATGCAATGAAAATACTTGGAAAGAGAATGTACTATTTCGATAATGTCTTCCGTGAAAAGTTTTTATGAGTACGCGGATAATCTCATTCACTACTACTTGTTCTTTTGCTTGCTTAATGACAATGCACATTCAAAGTTGTCTATGTGCATTACTCACTTACGGAAGAGGATACCCAGAGGATATCTATCATATCATCGTATTCTGTTTAGTCAATAAGAGATCAAATTCAGTTGATTCGTTGGAAAACGATCTTGTTTTTGTATCTGATACAATCATCACGTATATTACAGTGAAGATAGTGATGATAAGAAGTCATGTCGTATATTCCGAGTGTAAGGCATGCCAATGAGTACGTTGAGGAATGACATAATACATTTGTTGTTTCTGTGACTGTCATAGTGTTGTCATTGTTGCTGAAAAGCACTGTCGTATATTCACACGTTTTTATTCAACTGATTTTCGCACGAAAAAGAAGAGAAGGAAGAAAAAATGTTGAAGAATTCTTCAGATGTGCACGAGGAAAAGAGGGATAACGAGTTATATACAACTCTCTAAGCACACATTTGAATATTGTAATCGAAGCGTAAAAAGATAAACTAGAAATACTGTTATCATTTCGATCACCGTAAATAGAGACATTTACAATAAAAGAAAGATGTTCATTTCACTTGGTTTGCAGATTTGTACAAGTAGCCGCGGCAGCAGCTAATAGTAACTCATCATCGTCCTCATCATTCTTAATCATTTGAACTGTTTTATCAATGGACGGATAGATTTCATCGAGCTCGATCGACGCTTGAGTATCGTGAGTATTCTTTTGTTGAGCTAATTTTTGTAGCGAATCAAATGCAAATGGAGATGTTACAACCGGTGATGTCCCTTTATCATCATCAGACGATGTCGACGAATTGATTCGATTGTTATCGGTGGATTTCTTACGCGAACGAGTACTATCAGCTAAAATTGAAAAAAAAAGCAATGAAAATCACATTCTAGGCTCATGATTGTCGCGTACCTGTTCGTGTTGTATATTGTGGCTTAGGTGGCTCTGGTTTCAAATCAATATGAAATTGATCACCGTCGTGGATATTATACCTGAAGTATACGAATGTATGGAGGATATTTGGGTCGGAAAAAAACAAGCAGTAGGTGGGAGGAAAACGACGCAATTTACTAATGATAAGTTCGATGGAATTTAAGCTTCTCGTATTACATAGATAATATGAATGAATAAAGGTTATTCTAGAATGTTTCGCCCCTATTCGACTGATAGTTATTCTAGGTCGAAGTTCGCTGATAAAATGCTACACGTCGATAGGATTTCATCAAATCACCGATAGTTTTCTATATTCTCACTCAAAATGAAATCTTCGTCATATGTTATTGAGATTAAATGACTTTAAAGAAAAACAATAGTCGGCTTATTTGTTCCTACATACGTATGTAGTAATCGTTGTGGATATCGAAGTTCTTCCGGTCCACATACGCCCATGTTGAAAGCCACATCATCGACATAGAAAATTCGTATGCGTGTTAACGGCAAACGAAAGAGCTCATGAAGATATTTTTTGAATTGTTGAACAGTCTGTCGAACATCAATCTCTTTATCATGCGTAGTTTGATTGTAAACTAAACGGACATTTGTTAAATAGGGCGCACGAATTTTAATATCCACTAAAGGTTTAAGATTTCCGTGTTTTTCCGTTAATTCAAAGTATCTGCAAAGCAAAATGGTTTTCGATATCATCAAAAAGCAAACAATTTTACCGTTGTGGTTTCATATCATGCTGTGAATAATGCCGAATGAATCGTCTTTCACTTGTTTCTCTCTCATTTGCTGTAATATCACTACCATTCAATTTCGTTAAATGTTTCATATAACCAAGTAATAGAAAGAATCGTTCTTCTTTTTGATAATTCTAAAAGAAAATTTCGTAGAAATCAATCTTCAATGATTTGCAACAAACTTTTAATAATGGTGCAACATGAATTCGTAAAGCATGTAACGAAGGTAGTTTTGTTAATGCAACAACATCGTTCCAGTCAGATATTTGCACTTGATCGACACTGAGTGTGTGTAAACATGGTAAACAAACAGTCACATCATCATCCGAACGAAAACTTATTAGAGGATTATCACTTGCGATCAAAGTTTCTAAACGTGGAAATAACCGGCCCAAGCAACATATCGATTTCCATTCGCTTAGATTATTGTTTGATATGTAAACACGTTTGAGATTTTTATGTTGAAAATCATAATCCGATGATATGCTTGTGTAGTTATTCGAACAGATTTGTAACTCTTCCAAACTAAAAGAAAAGATGACAAAATTTCTTCTTGAGTAAAGATCTCCTTCCGTTTCTACTTAGAATAGATCGATTGGCTTTTGATTCGATTATGATCATGTCGTCTTATTAGATAACAGTAAACTTCTGATGAGGAAGAGTATTCATGAGATACGAGAAAGTATTTCTAACATGAATCTAACGCGTTTGTGCAATGAAACAATCTGTTTCGTATTAATAGCTGTTTTACGGTACAATAAATACACAAATACGTTGCTGTGTTTCCCGAAAGATCAAAATACTATGTATAAGCAATTAATTCTCAAGGTTCGCCGATGCATTTCGAACGAAATCGTACCGTCAGCAAATTGAATTTCATTTTCGATGAGTCACTCGTAATCAAACCGATTACTCCGATCTGAGTCATTGTTTTGTCAACAAAATCGGAATGAAAGTTTACTTTTTTTCGATTGCTAATCGAGAATAATCTTGAAACTTACTTCGCCGTTTTCTTCAGCAATTCCACGATCATTTCGAGACCAATATGACTTCCATTAAGACATAGAGTGTTCAGATTAGACCATTCTAAATCAGCTGGCAAGCGATGAAGATCAGTTGGAAATGGATTGAAACTTAGATTGATTGTTTTGACATGAGGTAATGATGAAAGAAGTAATGATATCTAAATAATTATCAACAAACGTAAGAAGCATAACGGAATCATCAACATACTTCATGCCAATCAGAAAATGCATTCGATGAAATATCGACCAATTCGACTTGAGAGCATGACAGTGCCACAGCATGAGGATCTCCGACATGAGAGATGCGTTCATCGGTTAAAACAACAGTCGATGCATTAAGGACAAGACCTGATTCTAAACGAAAAACAAAAAACATAACCATTAGATATGATTGACTAATAATTGAAGTGTTTGCGTGTTTGTTTATTTGTTTATTTATTACCTGTTTTTTTCGGCGATGAACCAACGAAAAAAACGATATCACAATCGTTCTTAAGATCATCGAATGTCGAATCGAAATCACAATATCGCTCGTAAAGAGCATCGGAAAACGATCGGCCAAACATTTCCGTAACCGCCATGGTGATCTAGAAAAAAAAAAGATTTTTTGTCTTGTTATGTCGTTGATGTTTCTGTCCTTGTTGTTCTCACTTATACACACGCGCTCGTTCTATTATCCGCTTTCCAATAACAGAGTAAATCGAAGAAGAAGAAGAAAAATGCGACAAGGTCGTTTTTCTTTCTCGTTCTCTCCGTTCCTACATACATCAATCATCATGCAGCCTATGACGCATAATATAGTCAGCTGACTTATTACTACTACTACTATTCGTATTAGACATGCTGACCACAAAGTATAACTGAAGATTTAGCATGAGGAACATGTCGACAGTTAATTAATGCTTACGAGTTACAAAAAAGAAGCGAAGAGATAAGAAACAATAGGCCGAAGCTACATTTATATATAACGTGAGATCAAATAAAAAATTCGTCATCGACAACAAAGAAGAAAAAGAAAAAGCTTGTTCAATGACTCAATTCTTCTCGTCATCCTTTCTCCTTGCATTAACTCTCTATCAAGCTCACTTCATACCGGTTGTCTGTTCTTTTTCTTTCTCTCTCTCATTCTTCTGTCACTCATTTACATACTTAGACGATCGAGCAACTAGAGTAAGTTGTGCAATCCCATTTTTTGCTTCTCTTTTACCCTGAACATATAAACATGCATGCATGGTGTGTAATGTCTTCTTTCTCTTTGCTATATATTTATTCCTACAAGCAAGCAAGTAAGTAAGTAATCCATCCGTCGACGATAGAATGATCTATACAAGAATATAAACAACAGTGGTTACATCGAAGATAACTCGACGGATGTTTTTCACACTATTTAACTAGATATCTCTTTTCCATCGATCAGCAAAGATTAGATTGGACATATGAGAGATTCTTTATTGATGACACAACACTGAATATAATCCAATAAACTGACTAATGATATGGAATTGCGATCGAACCTTCTTTTATTAATCTCTATTATTTAAAATACTTCCACACCTATTGTGTTGTATCGTAAAAACACAGCGATCTCGAACTGCTGAGCATGCATTTAACTGTTTCAAGATAAAGAGAACCCTCATCAATGCCCTAACCAAACTTGATTATGGTAAATCAGATCGTTAGAGTAGTGCTGACAGAGCACTAATCATGACGAATGTTAGTCGAAGGCGGTGCGAACGTATCGTGCAACTGTCAACAGATTGATTACAATTTCCGGCAGAGTGAAAGTAGTGTGAGATGTTCAATTACGAGATTTCATCTCAAAATAAACTTAGTTACCTATAAGCTGCGACACTACATTGGAACTTGATGAATTGCAACGATGCTAACTGTCCATAAGCACAGTTGAACTTTGGTTCCATTAAACAGAACTAATTACTAACGTAACAAAAAGGAATGCTCTCTAACTAAACCAATTACATCTTCAAAGAATTCGGAATATCCACAAATCAAGTTGTTACGTGAATAGCTGCACTTCACTTGCAATTGAAATTTCTCAGTTGAAACTGGAAAGAGAGGCTATAGAGGTTTTTGACCAACTCTCATGGTAGAATATTTAACCAATTGAATAAAACAAACGAAAAATTATATTTTTCACTATTATCATTTCTGAAACATGACTCAACGTATAGCACCTCTTTTACGAGAAAATGCCATACTTTTAGTCTGTGATATGCAGGACAAATTTCGTCCAACAATCAAATATTTTTCTCAAATTGTTGAAACTTCGAACAAACTATTGCAAGCATGTAAATTGCTCGGCGTTCCATTTGTTGTTACCGAACAATATCCCAAAGGTTATTGTCTTACTCGAAAAGTTCTCGGCAACTATTTTCCTATTAACAGGTCTCGGACGAACAGTACCAGAATTAGATATTGGTGATACAAAGCCTTTCGAAAAAACTCTCTTTTCCATGTGTACTCCTGATGTTATTTCACATATGAAAACATTAGTAACAGGTAAACGATTATTACCCTCATCCTCATCGATGTTCTTCGACAACATTCTATAGATTTCGATACTATCATCATCTGTGGTATCGAAGCACACGCATGTGTTTTACAAACAGCCATTGATCTCCTTTCGAAAGGCTATCGTGTTTACGTCGTCGTTGATGCTGTTTCATCTCGCTCGTTAACTGACAGGTATTTCGCCAATGTGAAATGTTTATTCGATGATCAAACTCATTGATGGAATTTAGAATGTATGCATTTGATCATATACGGCAAGCTGGTGCGTTTCTAACAACATTCGAATCCATCGTTCTTCAACTGACGCGAGATGCCAATCATCCGAATTTCAAGCAGATTCAACAATTAATCAAAACATCTGCAGCTGATACAGGACTTGTAGCTCTCCAAAACATTCCCAATGCGTCTTTATAGAACAGAATATGTTTTCTTTGATTTAAATAAAATCTTTCTACGTACATATTCCACGAAAATATCTAACTGTTGAAATACTTTTGCGCAAATGAAGCGCAGTGACATCTCTAGTGCACCGAAAACGTTTACAAATCCTATTGAAGTTGTTATCATTTTCACTCTTATCTTATCATCCTAAAGCAATATGAAACATTTATTTTCACATGCTGTACTCATTTGTTTGCAAAATATCCATTCATTTTGCCATCTTTAGCTATCTAAATGCAGACGAAAAGGAATTAGTAATCGACCATCGTTATCATCTCAGGGGTCAAGCTTGTTCTTCTTTTTTCTTCTTGCTACATATATATCCCATTCCAAGACGTGTATATCCACATTCATATACGAACACTTCTCGCCCATTGTTCTAGATGCCATTCTGGAAAAAAGATCAAGCTAACAAAGAATTATACACGAGCGTTGTTCAAGGTTTAAAGCAAATCTATGCAACGAAGTTATTACCACTTGAAGAAGCATATAGATTTCATGAATTTCATTCCTCACAATTGGAAGACAGTGATTTCGCCGCGAAACCAATGGTTTTGCTTGTGGGACAGTACTCAGTCGGTAAAACAACATTTATTCGATACTTACTCAATGTAAGTAGAGTAATCTTTGCTTCCGAAGTTCTCTAGAATTGTATTTTTTTGTAGGAAGATTTTCCGGGCATTCGAATTGGGCCAGGTAATGGAATGATGACGATTTTCCTCGTTCATCTTGTCTCCCTTTCTTTTCATAGAACCAACAACGGATTCATTTATTTCGATTATGTACAATGATCATCCGGGGGTTGTACCAGGCAATGCTTTAGTTGTCGATCCAACAAAGCCGTTTCGACCGTTGTCCAAATTTGGCAATGCTTTTCTAAATCGATTTGTTTCTTCACAATTGAAGAACGATATTCTCGAAACGATTACGTTTGTTGATACACCAGGTATCTTAGCTGGTGAAAAGCAACGTGTCGATCGTGGTTATGAATTCAGTCATGTACTTGAATGGTTTGCCGATCGTTGTGATCGAATTTTGTTACTCTTCGATGTGACATCGTTGGATATATCCGATGAATTGAAACGCGCGATTGAAGTTTTAAGACGAAATGATGATAAGATACGCATTGTTCTGAATAAAGCAGATAGTATTGATCAACAAGCGCTCATGCGCGTTTACGGCGCGCTGATGTGGTCATTAGGAAAAGTTCTGGGCACCCCAGAAGTTTGCCGAGTTTATGTCGGATCATTCTGGTCAAAGCCACTGCAATTTGATTTTAATCGACGTTTATTCGAATTAGAAGCTAAAGATTTATTTAGTGATTTGGGTAAGTGAAGTCTCTGTGAAATAATCGTTTGGTTAGATTAGTATTTCTAGAATCGTTACCAAGAACAGCAACACTTCGAAAATTAAATGATTTGATCAAACGTGCACGATTAGCTCGAGTAAGAAGATGAGCGTTTTGAATAGATGACTTACAAGATCAATGAATAGGTACACGCGATGATCATCAGCGAATTGAAGGAAAGTATGCCAAGTGTATTTGGTAAAGATACAAAACGTCGAGAATTGATCAATGTAGGACGATGGTGTTTCTTATTATTGAAACTTTGTTTTTCCTTGTTTACAGAATTTGCATTTGATTTATGAAAAAATTGAACGCGAACAAAATATTCCATTAGGTGATTTTCCGAAACTAGATCGTATGCAAGAAATTTTACGCAACATGGTTTGTTATTTAGAGAAATTTGTCTTTGAAGCATTTGTATTCTATGTTTGCATTTTAGGATTTCACAAAATTTAAATCTCTCGATCGAAAGATACTCGATCGCGTTGACAAAATGCTTGCTGAAGATGTACCTCGATTGATGAACATGTTACCACGTGAAGAACAAGCATACATGGCTTCAGCTGCCCAAAACGAAACTAAACTGACTCAATTATCAAGTACAATATTTCACGATCAAGAAAACACTCCGTTTGGAGAGGGTACCGTCGAAGGTATCAATGCTGGTAAAGGCGAATATGAATGGATTGTTGAACGTTCGAGAGGTGAATACGATCAAATATTTGCCCAATTGTCACCACAGAATGGTAAAGTCAGTGGTGCCTCTGCGAGACAAGAAATGATCAAGTCAAAATTGGTATGATTGATCGGGATAAGTCAACATTTTCATTCCAGCACCTTTTAACCTTTTCTTAGCCAAACAATGTTCTCGGTCGTATTTGGAAACTGAGTGATATTGACAAAGACGGCATGCTCGATATTGATGAATGGGCGCTCGCTCAACATCTTAGTATGTATATGAACTCTTTTTTTTTCTCTAAAGAAACCGACAAATTCATAATGAAGATGTCAAAGGTGAACACGAATAGAATACATTCATCTTTATCATCTCGTCGACTGTCATCAACAGATTTAACTTTTTTCATTTTAGTTAAAATTAAACTCGAGGGTCATGAATTACCAACAACACTACCTGATCATCTTATTCCACCAAGCAAACGTCATCTGATCAGTAATAACAACACAAATACCACTACTACAAGTGGAATTTATCCTACAATTAGTAACAATTACGGCGGTGGTTTCAGTTGAATATTTTCCTCA